CTGCAGCTCTTCATGCTTTTAGTCAACATATTTTCTCATCTTGCATCGTTTTGTGCTCAGATAGCTGCTGGATGACACATCTCTGAAGTGACAAACTTGTGACTCAAATGTATTTTGTTGTGAATCAATCCAGAACGATTCAACCCAGGCTAAATGAAAAACAGATGACTCTATACTGTGAGTAATTGGATAGATGAAGATTATTACTAAGGGGTTTGTAATGTTTACCGAGGGTTGTGACCACAGAGCGGCCGCAGTAATCCCTCATCTCCACCCCTGCCCTCCTTCAGCCTCCTCTCCTTTCTCTCACACAGCCAAGCGGTCCAACTCCCTCCATTTAGCTCATTGTGTTCGCTGACTTATTGAGCGCTTGGTGCAGTTGATAAGCCTTCATCTCTTATTCTCTCTCTCTGTGTCTCTTATTCTAAATCCTATTAACTCAACCCTAACCTCCTACTCATAAAAGAAGTACATACAGTCCTCCCATACTTTCACATGACACAAGATGATCTACTGACGCTAATGGCCTGAGAAGATACGTTTGAAATGTAAAATGTAATGTAATTCTGAAGGGTGTGTTTTAAGCCAGGAAAGAATTAGCGGTGGACTTATTCTTTGCATAATGTTGAGAATAAAGTTGAGATATCGAAGGCAAACTTTCAGTATTTGTGCCAGACATAAGGACATGTAAGAATATAGTTGAAATAAAATGTTAAGAATACAATTGTTATATCAGGAATACATTTGACATTTTACGATTAAACTTGTACTACTGAGATTAAATCACTATCATAAGCCCATACTGAACGTTGTTTATTTTATTTTTGACAACTTTATTTTGGACCTTTAAGCTGTATTCAGGCTGTATAGAGACTACAGTAGAAATGGAACCTGGGAGGGGTTCACTTTGTTTACTACAGAGGACAGTGGCTGCCAGTAACCCTCACAGCCTTATTGGTCAGTAACCGAGCTCCTGATGGTCATTAAGTCCCTCCCAGTATTGTATTTGTCTCATGAGCATGACTTCTTGACTCATACAGTGTGACGGGAAACCAGATCATGGTTACACAACTGTGTGTGTTTCTGTGTGTCCTCCTGTATTATAGTATAGGTTTCTTTAAAATGCTTTCCCTTTGTCTCCCTTTTGCCTTCCCCCGTCTCTGGCCCCCCACGCCCTTCCTCCATTTAAAGAGAAGTTCTGTTTTCACAAGTTGTTTTCTCTGCACCCACCCTCCTCCTCCTCCTCCTCCTCCTCCTCCTCCTCCCTCTCTGCCTCTCCTGCTGAAAATGACTCTCAGTCTATTTTTACCCTCTGGTCCTCTCCACCCATTTTCCCTCTGTTTCTAACCACCTCTATACTCTCCTGTTTTCATTTATTTTCTCCCTATACCTCTGGCCCTGTGAGTGTTGCATCATAATATTTTCTGCAACAATTCTGTCTCAAAGAGGCACATTTGCATGATGGAGGGAAGGAACAAATGTTTGAGGATTTAAAACAGCTTTTTATGGTGGAAACACATTACATCACTATCCTCTCTACTGTTAGCTGCTCTCCCTAAAACCAAAGTAGCATTGCCAGGAAAAATACTTATCCCTCTCATTAGTGCATTTTGCTGATTCGGTCTGGACGTGGATATGCATTGTCATCTTGAACCCAGAGCCCTCTATAACATCAACCCCTGTGCAGATTGCATACAGGACTCAAAGGCGGCGTGGAAAGTAAACAGTAGCTCACTAGCGCCACCCTGCATAGGATGGTATGTATGGAAATAAAGCTATATAACCGAGCTATTGTGAATAGGAGGGATCATGTCTTACTTCTGTTAAGCCATTGGTTAGCCTACATCTGAGTGTCGGCTTCTGATTGGTTGTTTCAATCATCAATCAGGTTTACTACGACTCCTGCACCAATGACATTAGCGTGGGGTGGGCTTACTGAAAGAAACATAGACATACACATGTTTTGATTAATTACTTGAACTCCAACTTAGGTTTTCAAATAGATACAAAACACGATATTTATTTGATCTATCTGTATTTTATATTTAGGATCAGCTCAGTTTATGTGATAAGAAAATAAGTTGAGTGTAAAGCCGGTCACATTTGCATATGACTGGCATTCCAGTGCACACGCCGACCAATCAGGGTTGACGGCGGGCAGATGACAGCTGGCCGCAACAGCCAATAGGAGAGTAAGGTTTGCTGCGGAAGGCGGGATAAGGCTGGGCGAGGTTGACAGGACGAGGAGGGGAGGGGGCGAGTGCAGGGGGGGGGGCAAACAGCCTAGTTTACAACAAGAGGAAGAGGGAGGGAAAGAGAAAGAAAGGGCCAAGGCTTGAGAGAGAGAGAAAGAGAGACGAGACACAAATAAAGGAGTAAAGTTGGGCTGGGATGCTGTACGGGGACTTTTCTGGAACAAAACAACACGCGTTACACCGAAATTAACCGAAGTGGAGCCGATGTCGTCCGCACGAAGTGGCTAGCTAACCTGCTGCAGACGGACGGATCTCACCGACGGCTATAACGTTGCTGTAGCGCTTCTTTTAAAGCCCTCCCATCGGGTTCATATCCTGTATTTTGGTCATATTGAACCAAGCACTCGTTTGCTGCCTTGAGGAGGAGAAAAAAAACTGCGATTCATCCCATCTTTTTCTCAGTTGGCAGTCTGGAGGCAGGAGTCCTCACCGTGGTCGCTTTATAATCGCTGTGTTGTAGACTAATCAGTTGCTAGATAACGTCAGGTCTGTGGTCAGATCGGCCAGGTAGGATAGGTGCTAGTAGACTTATATACTGTACTGAAGAGCTTGTAGTAGATAACAGTGTTTGTTAGCTCTTTTGCTAACCAATCAGATGGATAGTGGGAGCACTGGGTGATGGATGAATGCACCAGATGTACTGTCAACGACATCTGCTAATGCCTAGTAAACACGGGTGAACCCAAGTGTGGTGGTTATCCTTTTTACTAAGTGATTTGATATCTTGGCAGGTGTTTTAACCAATCTGCCAGGTTTGGACAGGTGCATGGAAGCAGATGTTGGTAAAAATAATTTGATCTAATGCAACTTCTCAAAACGGTCCTTGCTTGATTTTCTTTTCTCTTTTAGCAGGCTCTACGTGTGCATACGCTTTAGTAGTTAAGACATGAGAACACTTTCGTTTATTTTGCCTCTGTCTGTGCGGCGGGTGCACGACCAGGGGCGTGCCCGAGAGGTCGGTCCCGTTTGGAGCGGTGCTCTCGAGGCTCCGGTTGTTGCAAGAGGCAGATAAACTGGCTTCTCTGTTGCTTTATGACATGAATCAGCAAGTATTCAAGTCGATGTGTGGGTAAGCAGTGCACACTTGGACATTAAAGCAGTTTCCTCTGTCGCACTTCCCAGTTAGACGAATCACATTAGCTTTGATCGGCCCAATTAGCTTGTTGCAGTGTTTCTTAGCCTGATCGATACAGAGCCCTCTTACAGCAGTTTGTGCTTCTTAAACAGCTACCAAGCCCACCTGTCTGCAGCTGTGTGGTGGTGCAGAGTGAGCTTTGACATGGCCCAATAACACTGCGTAATTCCCGGGCGGATGTTTTAATCCAAGCCGTGGATGGGCTGCAGGCCTTGTTAACCCCTTCATGGCCGAGCTGCCGGAGTAATGTAAACAAACAGAGAGAGGGCATCGGGGGTAATTAGACCAAAGTGAGGAGGGAGCTAGGCTAACATCATAATCATCGTTTTAAATTGGTCGTCAATACTCTGTTGCATTCTGACTTATTTCATTTACGTTTTGTATTATATTGAATTCGTTTATAGTACATTCTGTACAATGATGTTTGATTCATGTGCGTTTTTTATGGCGGCATTCTGCGATACGGATTGATGGACTCTTTTAATGTTTACTGGCATTGTAACTAAAAAGGATTCTTCTTCATGCCACATCCTAAAATCCCCATGATGCAGTTGTTATTGTGAAGGATGAACGCAACCTCTTGAGACGGATACAGACACCATTGAGCACTGGTCATCTGTGAACTACCTGCAATATCTGCTCGAGATTTTGGATTAAAGATGTCTCTTAAACCTGGATTTATGTGTGTAGAAAAGGAACTTTAAAGGGACACACTTTCTTTTTTTATTATTCTTTTTGGGAGAAACATCAAGGATTTCATTCAATCATGTTCTCATCAGAGAATCCACAGTATCTCCGCCAAGGATTAAGCATGTTTGGTTAGTCCTTACCTTACTGTTTATATATTTTAAAATAACCCTTTTTGTCAGATCTATTCCGTACAGCAACATTATATTATTGTGTACTTGAGGCATAATGCAACACAAATGTTGAATTATTATTATTAGACAGAAACTATTTTTGTAGGTTTATATGATACAGATACTTAAGTTCATGGAAAATCATCCTCATCAACTTGTGTTTTTCAATAATTAAGATAATAATGATGTGATTTATACAGCTCTTACTCATTTATGGGGGTTCAGATTGTACTAGCTTCTGTTCTCCATCCAGCCTGTTATTGAGAACAGACAGTCCTTTTGTACATCTGCTGTTGTTGGAGTTATTTAACCACTCAAGTAGCTGTAGGTGGGCTACTGTGGCACTGCTGTTATTCTGTGTTGCTCTCATTAATGATATTGTTATATTCTGCCAGGAAATGAATAGCTTTCACCTAATGTCTCAGATGTCCATTATTAGAGTGCTAAAATGAAAGCTACTGTGAAAACAGTGACCCAGATGTATGTGTGGTTATATGACTCCAAAACATGAATGCTAGCATCACAAACATATTGGAAGAAATGATTAGACTTTGTGATGGGAGTAAGATTGCACCTCTTGTCTTGGTGTTGCACTGAGGATCTTGATTTCCCAAATAAGGAAATATTATCTTTAAAATCTGAATGTAACACAACCTTGTTGTCTTGAATGTGATTTCTGAGCAGCTTTTTATAAACGTCTGGACATCCGGTGGTGTTATCTGAAATAAACAATGCTGTTATCCTCCGCAGTGTGGACCAACGTAGAGCCCCGTTCAGTTCCAGTCTTCCCCTGGCATTCATTGGTCCCCTTCCTGGCACCCACCCAATCAGATGCTTCTTCTCTGCCAGGAGAGGGCCAGCACCCTGTCAACCACCCCCAAGCTGCCAGTATGAAGACAGGTACTGAATTAATTTATGTTTGATGCAATGTAACTTGTATTATCAGTTACTTGGATACTGTTTTAAGTTCCATATATTGGTTTCTATGCCCCGGACAAAAATACATCTCTTTTCCTCAGACTGTCAGGGGGTGGCAGCACAGTCACAAGAGCCTGCAGAGGCACCTCCCATGGTAGAGAGAGGTCCTCCATCCCGGCCTACCCCCTCTTCTGATGAGCCGCCTCCAGAGAAGGAGAAAGGCGATGCGGAGAGGGAGAGGCCAGACAGCGAAACAGAGAGTGACGTGGATGACCCGTAAGAGCACTTTTTGCGTTATGCAGTGATTCAATGTGCAAAGCTGTGAGGTTACATAAACACTTAAAGATACACCCTGCACCTGCAACCTTGCCAGTGTCTTTTTATAAAAAGTGGTTATGTATTTGTCCCAGTCAGCCCTCACAGTAATGTTCTCTTTGTGGTACCCACACATACAATATTGGAGTGTGAAATGTTCTGTATCTTTGCGCTAATTTGGGCAGAAGAGCTCAATGCCAGAACAAAGCAGATGGGAACAAAAGCATTCCATCTCTGGGCTTTATCACTATATGAAAGGCAGTGGCCAGGCTGTCAGCCATTGAGCTATCTGCTGAATCTGCTGATGTATCTCATGGGACATGAACTACTTCTGCTGTGTGTCTGCATCTGAGAGACTTGAAGCTCTGGGATAAATAATACCAGAGACAAAAAAAACTATCTTACAGTTTCAAAGATTAAAAAGGGAAAGCGAAAGCACATGTGCGTTTTGTCCTCAAGGATATAATCTAATATAGATTACACACTTTTTCAGCTTTCTCCCAGGCGTGGTACCAGAGCCTCCCCTCGCTATATCACCCGTGAAGAGACGCACTCAGTCCCTCAGTGCGCTGCCCAAAGATGGAGATAAGAGCAGCCCTGGAAAGGTTGATCTTTATATTGCTCCTATTATCATCATCGGAATGCTCAATGTTCCCTTTACTAACATGTAATATCTTTCTATTGTTCCTATTCTGTCTTTCAGAGGGAGAAGGACCACATCCGGCGACCAATGAATGCATTTATGATTTTCAGTAAGCGCCATCGAGCATTGGTGCACCAGCGGCACCCGAACCAGGACAACAGGACAGTCAGCAAGATCCTTGGGGAGTGGTGGTATGCCCTGGGACCCAAAGAGAAACAAAAGTATCATGATTTAGCTTTCCAGGTACACACATGCAATTACCAGCAAATGTATCAACATAAGTGGCAATAGACAACTTTTCCTTCCCAGCTTTTTCAAGTGATATATTTAAAGACAACTGATATACTTTCCATTTCCCTCAGCCTAGAAAAAACATATTATTGTGATTATTTCCTACTGCTGCTGAGAGTAATTGCAGTCCAAGACCGATAACGTCGGAGCTTAACGGTACCACGGTCTTTAATAATTCAGCCCCGGGGCCCGTTTAATACCGGGGCTCGGTACCCATCCCTGCCGATGACCGTGGCAGACAAAACTGCATTCTGAAAGCAAGGCTCTGGAAACCTATCAATGGTGTCACTATTCTATACCCGTTACATTGTGAAAACAATATTTACAGTTGCATTAAAAGTATCTATTGCCTCTTTAATCCTTTTGTGCTAACCTATAGTACACATACTACATTTTTGTCTTGTTTTTCACTTGCTCATTTTCCCTTCTGTTCCCAGGTGAAAGAGGCCCACTTTAAGGCCCACCCGGACTGGAAGTGGTGCAACAAAGACAGGAAGAAGTCCAGCTCTGATGGCCGTGGGGTCCCGGGGGGGAAAGACATCCGAGAGAGGAGCATGTCTGAGTCTACAGGTTGGTTTCACCTAGGGCTGTGCAATTCATCGTATTTTAATCTCGATAAATAAAATGATTATTATTATTTATTTATTTTTAAATGTTATTTATTTTTTTTATTGGTTTTTCAGTTGAATTATACTTAAAGTTCACATTAATCAACTGTTAAAAACATACTGTTCAAATGTTCTTTTTCAATAAATGGATGTTTTCAAAGTAAATGGATAATCGTTTTTAATAATCCTGATATCAATTATTGACCTAAATAATCGTGATTATGATTTTTGCCATAATCGCACAGCCCTAGTTTCACCCAGCTCTATTGATATATCACATAAAGATGTATATTTACAACATGTTTTATTTACAGTATTTTGTACCCTTTCCAGTACTTTAACAGTGCTCTTTTTGCCCCCTGACAGAGCCCCATTCTGTGGAGATGAAGGGGGTTGGGCCTGGTCTGGTGGGAGTGTGTGAAAGAAGCGCAGCAGAAGGTCATGTGGGTCAGCTCACCCGACCCCGGGCCTTCTCTCAAAGCGCCGTGCACAGCCTGGAGCGCAGTGACAGGGGGAACACACAGGCTCTGGCAGAACTGGCACAGGTATGGAGGAGCAAATGTTGATTTTGTTTTTTTTAATCTTGCATATTGTGAACATAGAATCAAGATCATTATCATCAGTTCTGCTGATTTTGTAAACATGACTTGATGAAAGTTTGTTTGTTTTACAGGAGAGTCACTGCAACAGAAATACTTTTCTCTGACTTAACCCTTAGATGCATAAGTGGGTCTTTTTTGACCCGGTGAGGTGGTTTTCTTGAAGTATCTTTGTAATTACATTTTTTGTTATCATTTCATATTCCAGCTACTCCTCAAAACATGTTTTGGATATCATGCCATTCACATTTTAAATTTACATTTTAAGAAATTGTAGTTTTTGTATTACTACCCCAAGCTTCCATAAGTGGGTCAAAAATGACCCGCATGTATTTCCTATGGGATCCTATGGGAACCTTTGATTCTTATCACCTGTGGCTGTCAGGAATACATTCACTGTGGACCACACAGACGACATCACAAGTGACACCTCTCAGGAAGATTATTATACACAGCAAGATCTGATACCTGTCAGTATCATCATAATAATAATAATACATTATATTTTTATAGGGCGTTTCAAGGACTCAAAATCGCTTTACAATATAAGGGAAGGTTAGGGTGGGGGGTATAGGACTATCAAACTTGATCAACCGGCATGGATTGATGGGGGGTGGGCTATGAGTAGACAAGAGGAGAAGAGATGAGTTTTGAAAAGGGCTGGAATAATGTGAGGAGGGTCTCAGAATAGCGGAGATCTTTGTATCGATATGTTCAAAACGTTTTTTTTAAAAATGTAAAAGTAATCTCTAAAATTATAAATAGTGAAAAATTAAATATAAAATATTTCTTGTGTGATCCAAAATATAACACTAAATATTATACAAGTGATTGTTCTTAACCAAAATGACAAAAATGGTATAAAAAGTAAAACACATATTATTCTAATACAGGTCCTTTTTGACCCACTTATGGAAGAGTATAGGGTCCAGTCACTCGTGCATCTATGGGTTAATAGCATGTCAATTTTGACAGTAGAATATAAGGCATGTTCCTATAATGAGAGGTCATGTCATACTTCAGATCAAATAAAGCAAACTGTTTCAAAAGCATCTCTGCTACATGGTTCCTTACTTTTTTTCAGATGTGTGGGGATGGTGGCAGTCAGTATCCGAGTCATGCCCCGCCCCTGTCTCGGTCCCAGCGGGGGGTCAGCGAGGATATGACCAGTGATGAGGAGCGCATGGTAATCTGTGAGGAAGAGGGAGATGACGATGTCATTGGTGAGAATTAAGACCATCTCTACTCTGAAAACGATTGTTGGATTACCTTTGTTAAAGTGTTAGTACACTGCTTCTGTGTCATTAATGTACTTTATACATTCCCAGCATCTGCATATTGAACTCATCATTTGTTGGCTGTATGTTTCCTTTTGAATTAAATGCACAGAATGTGGCTGAATTGTGTCCAGTCTTTTTTTACCACTGCCTTGTTTTGATGTTAAAGATCAGATAGGATTGACAGTAGATTCTAAATACACGCTGAAGCGATTGGATTATAAACTGCAAGGATTGTCAAGTGTAGCTGTAGAGTATTTTTTCTTCTCCACAGAGGACCCTTATCCTAGCAGCTCCATAGACCTCAAGTGTAAGGAGCGGGTGACTGACAGCGATAGTGAGAATGGTTCTGGAGATGAAAGTGATCGCAAGGTAACCAGCTTGAACAATATATTTTCTTCTAACTACCTATCTATTTACCTATCTATTTACCTACCTACCTACCTACCTACCTACCTACCTACCTACCTACCTACCTACCTACCTACCTACCTACCTACCTACCTACCTACCTACCTACCTACCTACCTACCGGTGTAACGGTTCACAAACATTTCGGTTCGGTACGTACCTCGGTTTTTAGATCACGGTTCGGTACGTTTTCGGTACAGCAGAAAAAATGATCACAAAACATAAAATATATATATATATTTTTTTATTATTATTAAATTGTGCAGCATTTCGATGAACTGAAATAATCTGTATTTGAACTGTACTGTACCTAAGCAGCCAGTTTGACATTAGGACTTGCTTGTCATTGTATTTTCATGTTTTTTTAAAGAAAGATGAACTTGTCCACATTGCTTGCCGAAAGGGCAGATCTGCTGGCACTAACAATGTCTCCTGATGTGGAGAACACCCTCTCGCTAGGGACAGAGGTAGCAGCCAGGTAGCGCTTTGCTAACATGGCAACATAAGGATATTTGGTGTTTGTAATAGCTTTGGCTCGGTCTAAACTCTTTGCGAGTGGTGGAGGCTTAAATGCTAGTGGGAGTTGGGTTTGCACTTCAGTCTTTTTTCTTTTGGTACCGGTGATATTTACGGGTGATGCCTTTTCAAATGAGTGTGCAAGTTTGATGTATTGCCAGCCACGTAACCAATGTTAGTTGAACAATGCCGACAAACAGCTTTGGTTCGGTCCACCTGTCTTTGTCCGTCATCCTTGAACGTAACTGCGAAACCAAAATGTTCCCAAACCGGAGACTTCAATGATGCTGGAGGATTTTCAAGCTCAACTTTATCTGCGTTCGCCATTTCGACAGTTCCTCAAATTACTGACTACATTTGAACGCATCCCCCTACTAACTATTTATCTATCTATCTATCTATCATTCATTCAAAAGTACTTGCCTTCATTGAATCTAAAAATAATGTCTTTCTTTACAGAGGGTTTTCGCTCCAGTCATTTGCTCCTCGTCTTCCTCACATCATGCCCCGCATGGCAGGAGTGTCTCACTGTCCTCTTACCCCAGCAGCAAGCGTTATGAGGAGGGGCGATCAGGAGGGGGAGGGTTTTCAGATCACAGGAGGAAGGACAGAGGAGGAGGAGGAGGAGGAGGAGGAGGAGAGGTTAAGGACACATTTGGGGGAGAAGGTGGAGGAGGAGGAGTGCAAGCCACATCTCTCTCCCTCACTTCTGGCCAATCAGTCATCACCACTTCTTCAGCTGGAGGGCATCACCCCTCCATGGTAGGATCACTGGGCGGGACCTTTCTCCCGGGCATGGGTGCTGTGAGGGTGGCGTCCACGGTGGTGACCAATGTGATGCGTCCTGTCATCAGCACACCGCTGCCCATCGCCAGCAAATCCAGAGACGGAGGCACATCGTCCAGCCCTCATCCGCCAGAGAGGAAGTCCCTGACTCCCCAACAGCAGCCGCACTTTCTGATTGGATCAGGAGGCGGTTTGCCAGCCACAGGGGGTGGGTACTACTCTTCATCATCACCTCATCCTTTAGGTGCAGGCCATGGTGGTGTCGTGACCAATTTGGTGTTAGGAGGGGCTCTGTCTGCTCAGCCTGCTGTACAGCTCCTCACCCCCTCCCACCACCAGCAGCAAGCCTTCCCCTCCTCCGCTGTGTCTCATAGCCAAACCAACGGGCCCCTGCCTCTCTCCCTGCTTCATCCCCAGTTCCTTCCCGCCTCTTCCCTAGCCTCACACGGGGGTAAGGCCATCACACAAGTCCAGTACATCCTGCCCACCCTACCTGCCAACACCCACCCCAAGAGTCCTCCTCAGCATCTCAGCCAGCCAACCAGTAACTTCAACCTGCCCCCAGCTCCACCCACACACATGTCTCTGGCCAATGGGAAGCAGCAGGGGTCCGGATACACGTCCAGCTCTGCAGTGGGAGTGGTCAGCCCGGGGTCTAGAGGTGAGAGTTTTAGAGGCTTGTTTGATCTACCTTTATTGGACTAAAACAGAACAGTCTATTTCAAACACACAGATCATCTTAAAAAAGTTATATTAAACCTTTTGATTCATATTGAGATAAATTATGCAAACGGTATTAATTGTTAATCACACATCAAAACTAAAATATCAGTCAAAATAATTGTGATAAGTAATTTTTTCAGAATCAGGCAGCTGAACACTCGGAACAACTAACCGCTCATGCATAGCCTTTTTATACTGCTCCTAATCAAATTCTGTTCTCATCTAATCTCTTCCCAGTTGTTATGTAGTATGTTTTTCTCGGTTTCCAAGTAAAGTGAGAATCCTAAGAATCCTTGTGGTACTGTTACATTTTCTTTGTTGGCTTTAGAAAACGTGCACAAAAAAATGAATGCAGTGTGTGAACAGAAGGCTCCATCTGAACGCGTGTCTCACATTAGGCGCTTTCACACCAGAGTACTTTTTCCCGTTTAGTTCCGATAGTTCCTTGGATTTTGTGTTCACACCAAAAAGAGAACTTTTCCCCCCTTTTTAGTGCCTGCTAGAGAGGTGGTGCTTTCCTGGGGAGAAAAAAGTTCCAATTTCTGATTGGCTGGGCGAGTTGCCCGTAAAACTCTGAAAAGTTTTGTGAAGCCGCCATTGTATTTGCTGGCATTAGCATTATTAGCATTAGCATTAGCCCCGCACACCAACGGAGAGAGAATAACTTATGGCAACACAAAAAAAAACATGGGAGCGGTGGAGTGATGAGGAGGTGTCGGCGTTCTGGCGATTTACTCGGAAGGCTAACTCCGGGGACTTCCGGCCGGGGACTTCGGGCGGCAGTATACGCCGTGAAGTTGTTTGCGGCCTGCCAGTAAACCCAAAGCAGAAGAAGAAGAAGAAGTGACGTCAGCGGCTTCATTTGCGTTCACCCTCAGGAACTTATTCCGGTGTGAACGCGATCTGCTCTTTAGTTCCATGGGGGTGCTGGGTACTAAGTGCTGGGAACTAAGTACAGCAAAGTACTTTGTGTGAAAGCGGCTATTGAGCATAAATAAGCCTTTAGAAAGTAGAGTGCATTTGGCTATAATTCCGCGGTCACTAAAATAACTCATTCTTCCTTTTTTCTCTTTACTTGCTTCAGTGCAAACACAATCTCCAGTGCTCCAGGGCAAAATGTTTGTTCCCATGGCAACAGTACGGACAGCGCCAGCTCCACCCCTTCCTGTCCAGAACGGCGCTCAGACGGGAAGCAAGGTCAGTGAGACCGCAGCACTGCAGACACTGATATGAGAATCAAATTGTATCAAAGTAGGACCACTTGCATTGTTCATCTATAAATGTGTATTTGTTGTTTTCTTTACGACTTCCCCTTTCCACGCCAGATCATCCAGATAGCTCCCATGCCTGTGGTCCAGTCCCAGCTGCCTCAGGGCGGAGCGGTCCATCCTGCCAGCCCCTTCCCTATCTCAGTGGGCACGGCTGCTCCAGGATCAGCCCCCTCCCAGACTTTACTCCTGCCACCAGCTCCTACCAGGTAGAAAACAACACACAACCTACATAATAAAGCTTTATTTATATATAGCACTTTTCATACAACACATGCAGCTCAAAGCGCTTTACAAAATGACACATCACAAGTTAAAAAGAAATTCCCCTGAGATTATATAACATTTGATCAAGTTAACAGACTCAAGGAGGTCAAATGATAATTAAAATAAAATAAATAATGGTTTCTCTCGGAAGACACAAAACAACTGAGTCGATGCAACAATATAAAATCGTATAACAAATTAATATGGATCCTATTCTTATCAACCCTTTTGTGCTTTTTGTTCTGCATTCGCCACTGGCTTGATAACATCTAGCAAGTTATATACACAATTTGTAGCAGGACTATTATGTCAATCAATCATTTCAAGTAACAGTGACCTCGTAGTTTGTTCTGAGGTGGGAAACATCACTTTTTTCGTACCAGAATAAACGTAACAAAGAATGCAAATGTAGTTTTCAGCCCCAACAGTTATTCTAAATTGACTGTGAAATGCTTTTCTGAAATTGCCTGCCAACACCTTTTTTATTTTCATGAGAGTAAACCCACACACCTGCCACTGAAAGAAGACTTCAACAAAAGGTTATTTCAGAAAGTCACCATGTAAATATATTATCATTGAAGCATGCTGCTTTCTGAAAAACACTAAGTGTTGATTAAACGTGTGACTAGTGAAGCCTTCTTGAGAAAACGGTTTAATTAGTATTAAACGTCTGCCAAATTAGGAATCTTCATGCACATAAAGATTAAATCTGTTTATTATTTTCAACAAAAAATGCTGTTGATAAGCCAATTTAAGGGTACGATGTTCTCTCCTTATTTGATCTAAAAATATTTTGATTGCAGGGAAGTTATTTTTATCTCGCAAAGCATTTATCTGATTGCCCTCCAGTTTGCCCTAAATGTTTAGCTTCCTTCATTCTAGCTGCTTAAAAGATGAAAATCTAAAAAAAGCTTTAACCACAAATTAAGCAGCTTGAACAAAATAAAAAATGTGTTGAGATATATTTGATCTATTTCCTGCTGTGATAGATGTCGTTCTGTCTGTTGTGGCGCTGAAACTTCCTCTCTAATGCTGCGTTTCCATTACAGTTTAGTAGCTGGGGCAGTAACTATAGTAACGCAGTGTAGGCGGAGCCGTGACGTCATCTTCAATGCGAAACACAAAACCAACACAGCCGTTAGCTGTCAGCCCTCAGAGCTCACAGCTCCTCATATCTGTTCAGAAACTAGACAAAAGTTGAACAAGTACAAACCACAGACTGCCTGTGTCATGGCGAATACAGTCGCTGGTTTATTTATGTCTGTAGGCCGTTGTTGTGAGTGTGGACGGTCGGAGCATATACTGCGTTAGCTTAGCCAAGCTACATTAAAAAAAACACGCATTTTAAAAGGTGTTTCGCCTGCCGTCTGTCTGCAGACTTGTCAAAGCATTAATTCATGGTTTTTACTAACCGGTATCAGTATGTTGTTACTTCGGCCTCATTTTGAAACGTGTATTACAATTAAATCACGGTCAAATATGTTCATCTTGTTGTAGTTGTAGCCCCCTTGCCAGCGATTCTCTCTCTAGTTTAGCATACTCAGCCCGGTTGTTGGCCCGGAAAGAACCTGGATTTTGGAGGGCCAGAAAAACTGTGAAAAGTACCCGTTAGCCGGAACTACCCCGAGTGGAAACGCAACAACAAACGGGCTGTGTTTGGCACGGCACGCTTAAACCGTGCTACGCGCTGCAGTGGAAATGCGCCATAACACTGGACTTGTAAAGTCCTATTATGGAGATCTATGTTGTAAAATCCAAAAGCTATTTCTTTGACAGATAGATGATGATCAGATGTCTGAAAGGGGCTATAAACTCATTATGTGCCAGTAAAGCTCTGACTAAACAGGCGCCCGTTTATGAACATATGCCAGCCTCAATCATCCATCATGATCTCAGTGAGCCAGATATTTGTTACTGTATGATATAAATCCGGCTGATGCCTTCTATCAAATGATTCACAAAGCGCTTCAGAAGAAAATGGATAAGGTGTGCTGTGAGAAGATCCTGTGTACATGCTCCATGACAAATATTTATAAAGAGGTGTTCCAACACATGAGCAAACATTTGAGAGGATGCAGCAGCTTGGATCCCCGTTATTGGTTTAGTGTTGTGCTTTCTGTTGAAGCAGCATTTATTTTTCAGAAGACACCACTCATGGAGGAATTAAATGGGAGACAGCAGGCCGCTCATTAAGGATGCACACATTTTTTTTTAGCCAATAGTGGGAAATGCATATCATTGTGTATTGGCATAATCAAATTATTGGCTGATAAATTGTCAGCATTTAATACAAAGCTAAATTACACAATTTCATTTCCTTTGTCAAAAATGCTGCTAAAAGTACTGTGTATGGATGGAACGTCTTTACTTAAAGGGGACCTATCATGCAAAATGCACTTGTTGATGTATTTTATACATAAACATGTGTCCCCGGTGTGTCAGGGAACTCACGCAGCGTCAGAAAATAAAACCCTCTCTTTTCCTCCGTACCCAAATCTCTAAAAACGGGGCACCCACGTGGTGGACCCACGGCCCTATCAGAAAGTTGCGATCAGAAACAATGCCCGAGGGTCCCACATGAGCTCAGCCCCCTCCTTTTTTTTAATCAATTTTTTTAAGCTTTATACCCAAAATCAGCACTTTTGAAACAGGAAGTGAAATAAAGGGATGTGAGGCATGGCTAGAATGATCTGTTTGGTATTTGGAGCAAAACACTTCAGAGACCTATGCTATTCCCTAAAAATAGCATGATAGGTCCACTTTAAAATACGGCAGCAGTGTTGCATAACTGAGTCATGTTGCAGGCTGCTTCCTTTAGGGGAGGGTAGAACATACAGTATATATTGTTTTTCAGATTGCAATGTTGAGCAAAGGCCATCGATCCAAATGTATTATTTAAAGATACTGGTGTCGGTATCTGCACAAACTCAAATGTACCATCATCAATAACAAGCTCTATGTAAACGCAGATATTATTTATAATCTTAAAGGTGGGGTAATTTATTTCAGAAACACTTGTTGTTATATTGCATGGAATGTTCTTAACATCCCGATAGCAATGAATATCTGAAGTGCTTTGACAATAAATACATAAAAAGGTCATCAGTGGAAGCCGTGGGGCTGTAAAAAGCACGACCAATCATATGAGCCGGCCCGGCTAAAGTAACTGGATGGCCTACCTGCCTGTCAGCCTTCCATCTGTGCACAAACTTATCTCGTGCCCTCATTGGTCATGTGCGCGTTCGTGTGTGTTGGAGGAGGGGCTCTGTGAGGAAGTCTGAAGGAAAGGACAGATTTTTTTCGGCTGCGTACTTTCAAATTCTAACGCACTCAAGCTGGTTTCTCCATTCTTACCTACCTACCTTTCATTTCAATTCCCCAAACAGGTTTAATTTTCAAAGATACATTAATTGTTCTTGTAGTTGATGCATCAAAGTAACTCCTTTTAGTTACTTTTAGATTGATAATAATGATATATAAGTTCAGTTGTATTGTTTCTAAAGGCAGAAGATTTCCTAAAGCACAGCGGACAGACAATAGGAGAAACAAAAACTCCATGAGGGGTGCATCTGCAGCCGAGCAGCTCTATTCTGGATGTGTTAGTCATGCTGCTGGTGGCTCATGTTGCCTCTGCCTGCCACCCCCACACTACCTCTCAGCTTCTAACACACACACACACACACACACACACACACACACACACACACACACACACACACACACACACACACACACACACACACACACACACACACACACACACACACACACACTAGTCATCCAGGGCTGCACGCTGTGATGTACTCTCGTCCCCTGACCTTCACTGCAGTTCTTGATTCCTGCTCATTACTAACACCTTCTGTCACCTTTCTTGACATTTTCTATTACAAAAATGTCATCCTTTCCTCCTTTTCTCCTCCTCCCTCTATTCGACTGTCCTCTTATCATCCTCTTTATTTTCTCTGTGCCTCCTCACTCAGGATCACCTATGTCCAGTCCACTCCAGGGGTCTCATCCACTCTGGTCTCCACGACAACAGGCTCCTCCGTCACCCATCAAGCGCTGCCGGTGTCTGGATCTGCCTATGTGCCATCGCCCCTGGCAACACTGGGGTTCACCGCCATCGCACCTCCTGGACAGACCCTGGTGCAGCCGCTGATCTCAGGTCAGTGCTGTGCAGAGCTCCTGCTTCACATCTTCAGACGCTAACTCTGTTTGTGTCATGTTTAAATTAAGTGATATGATACTCAGCAGGAGTTTGCATTTTGCTTCTTCTGTGACAAACCCAGCCAAAGTGAACCGTTTTAGCTTCTATTAAAACTTGACATGTTCTTTTTATGAATCTACTATTGATGGATAGATAGATACTATACTACTTTACTTACTTACAGAGGCTTCTTCAATAAATACAATTCATTTGACCGTACTTTTATACACGTGTAAGGCTCTAAAACAGAGTTGTGTTTACACATTTCAATCAACCATAATCCAAGTGAACCAGTATCATGTATGGATACACTGTCAGTTATATCTCTAGTCTCTTCGTGCAACACAGAATCTATATTTTAATATACAAATATTTCTTTTTACAAAACCATTATTAACATCAGGTTCTTTAACTCTGTTAGCTTGAACATTCTAGACCAGGGATGGGCAGTACTTGTAGTCCTGATACCTTCCACTAGACTCCTAGTTACGTCGCGAGCTGCACACATGATTTCGTGTGTATTGTGTCACAAGAAACAGCGGCTGTTGTTATGCCTGCTGTGACGTTAAGTTGCCGCTTGTAATTATGCCGTTGAAGCTTCAAAGTTGTTTTTATCATCTGAATTTGGCGAAACAAGTTTAATATTCTAAAAACCAAGACTTTGTTTATTTGAAATCAGATGAAAACAAACTGTCACGGACCCTGCCGTGTTATCTATGATTACTATACGCTTCATTCATAATGTCAGCGGGAGGGAGGGGGAGTGGCGCTGAGGAACAGCAGAGTTCGTGTTGACAGATGTCTGTGTTGACCCTTATTGTGGAATAAGGGGAATGCAGAGACTGGCTACAAGTGTCTTAGGTTCAAGTTAGACGACTAATGTCTGGGTTAGTGTTCATGACTTCATGTTCATGTCATCTTAATGGTTCATCTCAATGCACACACATTTTCCGTGCTTTCCAATAGTTTAAAATAGTTTTATTCCACTGTTAAATAACCTGTTCAATACAAACATGCCACTTAAATGAAATAACATTTCTGTGAAGTGATATTTGTTTAGTGAGCTTATTAGAGGATGTTCATTGACATTTTACAGTCGTTCAGGGAAGATGTCAGACTTAGTGTATGGGTTAATAATTACATACAATACATGGAATTTGTGTGTGTTCGTGTTCCAAGTGAATCTGCGGCCCCCTGGTGGCCAGTACATAAATGATGTGGCCCCCCACTACCATCCAAGTTGCCCATCCCCGATTTAGACACATACATTTCCCTTAGAATATTTACAAATGAGGTTTTAATGCAGACTACAATACTCATATATATGAGTGTATATATATATATAATACAAAACTACAACAACCACATGTGACTCCTGATTATATACATATAGAAACGTGTTTTGACTAAACCTTTGGTGGATATTCATGTGGGTTGCATCTGAATCAATTTCAGTATGACGACGATGTGAAACTAGGACTAGTTAGACTCCTCACACCTTGTTAAAAGCGCTTTTACAGAGTCAAATCAGGACTGCACGACGGAAAAAAGCATCAATTTGAACATTTATTGATGTGAAAATGTTGTGAATTATCACTGAAAGTTTTACAGAATATTAAATATTAGTTTTTCTTCTTGGTCTCCTGTCTCTTCCTCCAGGTCAGCCTCCGCTCCTGGCCCCCTCTCAGTCTCCTCAGCCCTGCACCTCGGCTCCTGTCTCGGGCTCCGGGGCCCAGATAGTCACCGCCATCTACCGTCCTCCTTCCCCAAATGTTACCATGGCAACAGGGATGGTCTCCATGACAGCCGTGCCCTCCAGCGTGGTCTATTCGGTCTCCAGTGCTTCCCCTCACATCCTGTCCAAACACACAGCATCCCCCGGCACTGTCACGCACACACACCAACACTCAGAGATGCTGATGCATTCAGACAGGCATGCGGAGAGGCAGACCTCCAGCAGCTCAGCGGCCCCCCCCAGTGGCTCAGCTGTGAGACCCTGCAGTCCTCCTCTTCAGAGCCAAACACCGGGTACGACTGCACTTAATGCTTCTTAAATTAAAGTAGCAAGACGACATCGTAGAAATACTCTTTCACAAGTACAACAATCCTGCATTCAAAATGTTACTGAGGAAAAATACAAGAGTATTGGCATCAAAATGTCCTTCAAGTACCAAGAGTAAAATGATGCGTAATGGCCCATTTCAGAATCATATATAGTACACATAATTGTAGTGGAGTAAAAAGTACAATATTGAAGTATAAAGTAGCTTAAAATGAAATGTGGAAGAACTAAGATCTTTGAAGTAGAACGATCGAGATTGAATTGTTACAAGTAAAAGTTTGCAATCAATATCTTACTTAAGTAAAAGCACCAAAAGTACAAGTGCTTATAGCTAAATATCAGATTCATATATATTACATATTATGATGTTAATTATGATTATTGATTATAAGCTAATGTTGGATCATTTGTATTCTGCTGCTGGATGTTTTAACCTATAATATGTCATTGTTAACGTATTGGTTGATTTGTATTGTCTTATAATCTGAATCTATAAAGTAACTAAAACTGTAAATGTAGTGGCGTAGAGTATTAAATGGCGTACTGTGAAAGTACCTCAAAATGTATCTTAAGTAAATGTACTTCACTTTCCACCACTGTTTTTTTAAATCTGATTTACAGGTTTGTAATTGTTTGTGTTTTTACAGGCAGTGCACCGGGAACACCCAAACTAATACAGCTCTCTGTCAGGACCCCTCAGAAGGTGAAGGCGACGGTGGCGAACATCCCCGTGGGCAGCTACGAGGGAGGGGGCCGGGGGAAGGAGAGAGAGAGGGAGAAAGACAGGGAGAGGGGGAGAGAGAGGGAGAGAGAGAGAGAAGCTGCTGCCGCCTCCAGTCGCTTCTCGTTTGACGCTGAGCTGCCGGGGCAGACGGCGTCTCCATCGACACATCCTGCGGAGGAGCCCCCCGCCTCAGAAAGACCCCAGGAGGGGGCTGCAGACCCCCCCGACACACGGCACAGAGAGGGCACAAACAAAGAGGTGAGAGAGCATCACACACTGGCTGTAGGCCCGGACATAATGAGGGGAAACAACTCCTTTATTCAAAGCTACCATTATTTCATTTGTGTTGATATTCATTCTGATATACTGGACATATTTGATTTGGCAGATTCTTATTGTATTGACTTTTTTGTATATTTGTATTTCTTGTAAACATTCAAAAGTTCTATATTTGCTCCTTTTTTACAACCCACTTCCTCTAACTGTATTTATGTACGCACCATCGTAGACCAAAGCAGATTCCTTGTATGTGTATTCCTACTAAATGTTTGATTTAAATTCCTCTCCTCTCCTCTCCTCTACTAGAAGTCTACCTATAATAGAAATCTCCTCTCCTCTCCTCTCCTCTCCTCTCCTCTCTTCTCCTCTCCTCTCCTCTCCTCTCCTCTCCTCTTCTCTTCTGTGCAGGGTGGATGGAAGGAGTCTCTCCCCTCCTCACCTGCGCCTCCTCCCGCCTCTGACCCCCCTCCGCCCCCCCCACCCACTGAGAAAGACGGTCCTACACCCAAGAAAGTCAAAATGCGCCCTCCGCCCCTCAAGAAGACCTTTGACGCTGTGGACAAGTGAGTTACCACCTTTAAGAATCTCTCGTGGAGGTCTGCAGACGACTCAAGGCTTTTATGTCGTGTGTGCATAGCTACAGTGTGACCATGAACATCTTAGGTCACAGTAAATCAAATAGAATATAATAGAAATAGTGCAGAATAGTCTTTATATGTTGTGTAATAGAAGCTTCGGGTGAAGAACCAAGCGAGTCTTGTCCAAAGTGAACGTGTTTACTTTTGATTAATGTAACAGTTTCCAACAAGAACGGTAGAAGACGGGGAAATGCACTCGACATACTCGTATTCATTTCCAATAACAGGAAGGAGTAAGAGCAGGACACATACCTGCACTTCAAAATAAAAGCATTTCCTGTGAAACATTTTACCCTTAACTTCTGTCAGGAAGCAAATAAACAAATGTTTTCACTGCCTTCAATAAAATAACGATATACAAGTCATTGGAATATTGATATAAGTTATAAGCGACCAGATGTTATGAATGTTCTTTCAAAGGTTCAGGTGTTTAGCAGTCTTATGAGAAGGTGTCTGGACGGTGTGTATATACTGTGTGTGTGTGTGTGTGTGTGTGTTGGTCTGGCAGGGTGCTGTCGGAGGTTTACTTCGAGGAGCGCTTTGCGGAGCTGCCAGAGTTTCGTCCTGAGGAGGTGTTACCCTCCCCCACCCTGCAGAGCCTCGCCACCTCGCCCCGCGCCATCTTGGGCAGCTACCGGCGCAAGAGGAAGAACTCCACAGGTCTCACTCTCATCTCACTCTGAAGACACTTTGTTATACTGGACATTGGAGGGTGGCTGCAGAGTAGTGTGGATTTTGTCAGCATTTTGTGTCTTAGTTAGTCTTGTTTTAGTCAAATGTCTTACATTACATGCTCCTAACACTAGGATGGGTCAAATGCAGGGAAGACGTTTCGTTACTAGTACCTGTACTATGTAACGACAATAACATTTTAATCTAATCTAATTAGTATAGTCTAAAAATGTCTTCCAAGCTGTGTTGCTGCTGAGGTCCTGATTATTATATCGTTTGTATATTCAACCCTAGTGATAGTTAGTCTGCTCTTTTTAGTTAAAGGGGACCTATCATGCAAAATGCACTTTGTGATGTCTTTTATTCATAAATATGTGTCCCCGGTGTGTCGGGGAACTCACGCAGCATCAGAAAATAAAACCCTCTCTCTTTTCCTCCGTACCCAAATCTCTAAAAACGGGGAACAACGGAGCTGATCCAGATTTGCGTCCGATATGACGTAATATCTGAAATGTGGACCCACGGCCCAATCAGAAACGTTGCTATCAGAAACAATGCCGACTGTTTTGGACGTAATATGGTCGGTGTTTACATTAGCATCGCTAACACTCAGAGCTAACCTGTACTGGAGAGCATGTGTGTGAAGAAGCAGGAAGTAAAAAGGAACTCACCTTGTGGTATAACCGGCAAGAGAGAAAGCCTTTGAGCTCCAAACTGTTTCAGAAACAATCCTTGATAATCCATGATATGGCGTTTCATCACGGCAGCATTTAGTTTAGACAGCAGCTGCCGGGTCCCGCATGAGCTCAGCCCCCTCCTTTTTATTTTAAAGCTTTATTCCCAAATCAGCACTTTAGAAACAGGAAGTGAAACAGAGGGATATGAGGCATGGCTAGAATGAGTGATCTGTTTGGTATTTTGAGCAAAACACTTCATAGACATGTTTTCTATATATTTGTATATATCTGAGACCTCTTGCCTTTAAGAGAAATAAAGAGTAATTCTATTATTTGACATTTTTAAACCACGTATTTATTATCTTTTTTTCTAGAGTCACAGTAACCCAGTGCCATGAAAAAGGATAAAAAGATCTTAGTCGTAGTTTCCGATGAAGAGAGGAACATTGTTGCACCGACTGTCATACATGTGCAATCATTTGGAAAAGACATTTATCAATAGATCAGTTAGAACTACACTAGTTCTGAGTTACATGATGCTCCTTCCAGATGTATTTGTGATGAACCCTGATAAATACATCAATGTGATTTAAAGTGTGTTTCTTCTCTCTGCTTGTAGACCTGGACTCAGCCACTGATGAGCAAGTCTCTCCGAAGAGAAAGAGCCGGCGGCGCTCGAGCTGCAGCTCCGAGCCCAACACGCCCAAAAGCGCCGCCAAGTGTGAGGGAGACATCTTCACCTTCGACAGAGCAGGTGACGCACAGAGTCCACATGTGCTTCATTTAGGGTCCTTGTGTTCTGATATCCTAACTCTGAGTTCTGGAGAGGTAGTGTATTGATAGATGGAAGTACATATGGATAGCAGTGTGGGTTGGGTGCCCTGTTTCTGTGTTTTCACTTTACTTTCTTTGTAATGTTTTATCTTTTTGTTTTAATGATGTTTATGCTTATGACATAAACAAAGATGTTTATCATAGTAAATAGTTTCCTGTTGACTGAACCCCCACACCCTGTCCCTCCCTCCCTCCCTCCCTCCCTCCCTCCCTCCCTCCCTCAGCCACAGACGGAGAAGACATCCTGACAGACATGGAGTTCGACAAGGTGCCGTACTCGTCCCTGAGGAGAACTCTGGACCAGAGGAGAGCGCTGGTGATGCAGCTGTTCCAGGAGCAGGGCTTCTTCCCATCAGGTGAGTGAGAGAGAGAGATACACACACACACACGCGCACGCACAGACGCACGCACACACACACACACACACAGACAGACACACACTGACACACACTGACACACACACAGACTCACACACAGACACACACACAGACTCACACACACACACAGACTCACACACACACACAGACTCACACACACACACAGACTCACACACAGACTCACACAGACTCACACACACACACAGACTCACACACACACACACACACACACACACACACCCACACACACACACACACACAGACTCACACAGACTCACACACACACACACACTCACACAGACTGACACACACACACACACACACACACACACACACACACACACACACACACAGACTCACACACACACACACAGACTCACACACACACACACACACACACACACACACACACACACACACACACACACTATATACATATAAATACACAACAAGCGGTATTTCTACTAGAACTAACATTTCCTTCGTGAATCAACCTGCTGATTCAGTTTTTGGCCAATTTTGATCATCTTTATTTTCTCTTACTGTCATTGACAGCATGCACAAACACTTTTGTAATCCACAATCGTTTCATTTATTTGTGTATAAATGTTATTATAACTTCTGCGGCATCGTCCTGCCTGCCACACACCTTCTAGCCAATCACAGTGCAGTGCCATTATTACTCTGAACAGCATGCATGGGAATGATCTACAATATCAAATATTGATTACACTTTTTCTAGTTTTCCTATAAAGTTGCTAAAATTGTAGTGTTTTGAAAAGTCACTACATCTACTGAGAAAGTCCTAAGTTGTGAACAGTGTGTGTGTAACATTAGTCAGTAACTCTCCGTGCCTTTCTCTTATCTAAAAGCATTTCCACAATGAGTTCAAACCATTTGAGTTTGCACTTCATATAGCACTGTCAATTGCTTGAAATTACGAGATGTTTTAGTTTGGTTTTGTGTGAGGACCCCAGGAAGAATAGCCAATGCTCATAGATGAGAGTAACACATGCATCACTTCCGGGCAAAAATGACGGCCCGCCCACTTTTGGGGGAAAACAAAGCTGTCATTTGAACGGCGGTCAATACAAATTCTGAAGTTTTTGCCAATCCGATCAGAAATGTAAGAAAACCGTGGATTTCTGGATCTTCAAAGAGCGATGGCCAGTCAGGCAAACAATTACATTAAATCATTGGAAATCGACGATCGGGCTCGATATATGGTTAAATATAGCAGTAGGCGATCGATGTCCATAGATGAGAGTGACATCTAGGTCACTTTACGGCCCCGCCCACTTTTGGGGGGGGTCATTTGAACGGCGATCGAGCCTGAAGCCACAGAGCTCTTCTTTTACTGTCCTTTCTTCTCAGAGGAAGTACAGAAACACTGAACTCTGGATTTGTTTTAATGTTTGAGGTGCAATAAACGACACAGCAGCTTGTTGGCATGATAAAACTATTATTTTCCGCCTCGCTCATGAGAGTAACAGCTGGAGAAATTACGGCCTCGCCTACTGATTTTAATTTAACCATATATCGAGCCCGATCGTCGATTTCCAATGATTTAATGTAATTGTTTGCCTGTCTGGCCTTCGTAATCGGGCTCTTTGAAGATCTCAAATCCACGGTTTTCTTACATTTATGATCGGATTGGCAAAAACGTCAGAATTTGTATTGACCACCAATCAAATGACAGCGTTGCTTTCCCCCTAAAGTGGGCGGGGCCGTAATTTTCGCCCGGAAGTGACGTAGGTGTTACTCTCATCTATGCTAGTGCTAATGTGGATCCTAATTAAGAATAAGTTCCCACTTGGAGACCCTGACTCACGTTGTTTTTCCTTTTGTTCCCGTGTTTCCAGCTCAGGCCACCGCAGCCTTCCAGACTCGATACTCGGACATTTTCCCCACCAAGGTGTGTCTGCAGCTGAAGATCCGGGAGGTGCGGCAGAAGATCATGCAGACGGCCGCGCCCTCCGACGTCTCCGCGTTAGGGATCCCCGACTCTCTGTGCTCCATGCCCGGCCCCTCGGGCTCCCAGGCAGGGGAGGGCTCTCTGCGGGGGGGCGGGGACCTGCAGGACGACGATATGGAGGGGGGGGCGGAGGGGAGCCCTGAGGACCCTCGGGATTCACACGACTTTTCAAGATGAGGGATTGCTGACAGATTAGACCAATCAGTGACTGTTGACGTCACACATTTCCACCACCCCCCCCCCCACATGCTTTTTATAATTTTTTATTCTTTTAAATCACTCCCTCCTCTGGTCTGATCATTATTCCTTTCTCTGAGATGTTTGTATGCAATGTTTGGCCTTTTGTTTTTGGGTAATGTGTCTTATACCAAAAGAGGGAACTGACACACACACACACACACACACACACACACACACGCATCCTACAAACTCTTAATTCCCACACTTGACTCGACACTCTGTATTAACCACCTTTGAGAACGTTGCCAGTGAACGAAGGACCGTTGTGAGACCCTCTTACCCCCGCTCTGAAACGGTTAAAAGTCAGCAGTTTTAAAACACGGACATTATGTTTTGATATTTGTTTTTAAAAGAGCAGTGAGTATCTGCTTGAGGAACAACGTGTTTTAGATGAACTGTTGGCGTGTGTGTTTTGGTTCCTGCTGACATCAGGGGGCTGGGCCCTCAACAGCCGGAAACTATTTGATTGAGAAACATCACCGCGGACCTGGAGAGAGATCTCCTTTTTATTGCAGACCTTCAGGGGAGGTCGAACCGGAGGGAACAGATCGACTGAAACTCATGGGCCATCATTCCTGCAATTTCCTGTGTGTCCGAGTCCTCCCTTCTTGCGGCAGCACGTGGCACCGGGCGGAGCATCCTGTGCCTCTCTGAAGGAAGGAGGTGGGAGTCACACATCCTGGCTCTGAGTCCTAAAGGTCTGACACGGCCTTAATCCTCGATTGCCAAGCAGTTTTATTCACTTTTTTAAAATAATTTGTATTTAACATTGTCATATTCAGTTTGCTGTTGTACTATCCCTATGGTTACTATTACTCTTTATATCATTGCAGTGACCCGGTCCTTGGTTCTGATGTTTCCTTTATAAGATTTCTTGTATTTGTTTTTATAATTTTGGAGGCAGGTGAGAGAAGCTGCTGCACACTTCCTCCTCCGTAGTCTTCCCTTCGCCGGCCTCTCGCCTCAGCAACCAGTTTCTTTTTTAAACGTGCATTTCAAAGAGGAATAACGTTTTTTAAAATTCTTTCAAACATAATAACGGTATGTTTTAGCCTCTCTAAGTTTGATCTATAGCCTCAAGACTTGTACATCTCCTTCCTCCAGCCCTTTCCTTCCCTCCTTCCTACCTTTGTCACTTTATTGCTCTCTCCAGACCTTTTTCAGACGTGCGGAGAGGAAACTGGAGGAAGAGAGGGAGGGTGATGAATCAAAGCGAGCGGTGGGATCTACTGGTTGTGTCTTTGTGCAAGACTTGGTGTGTTGTAAATAATTACTGTAGAGTCAGTCGACTCGTTATATTATTGATAAGGGAAAATCTGTCATTGACTTTTAAGAAACGCATTACCCAAGGTAAAACACATGACATGGAAAAAAAACAAATAATAAATATGGCTATTAATGTTTTTGTGTTCTACCCGTTGTTTTGCTGTTCCGGTACAGGAGAGGAATTTATATGAATAATTTAAGTTTGTATCTGTATCTTTCAGTATGCAAATAAAAATAGGTGTTCAATTAAAGTGTTTTATCGCTGGCAATGTGGAGAACGGGTTTTACTTTAGCCGAGATACAATCAGGGGTGAGGGACAAAGGCAACGTTTATTTTCCAGCAACTTTTTATTTTTTAAAGGAATATATCCCCGCAAAATCAAATACTTTCCTCTGATCCGTAGTGCTCTTTTTCAATCAGTTGTTCTGTGCTAGCGTTGGTGGGGGAAAGCTTACCGATCATGCAAAATGCACTTTTTGATGTCTTTCATACATAAAGATGTCATGTTGAAATAATAGTAGGTTAAGGTAAATAATCGAACAGTCTGGTAGGATCAGTAATTTCATGAAGCCTTTTAAACCAAAAATAAACATATCAAAAATGTAAGCCGATACGGTGTCTTATAACCATTTCTTGCTATTATATGAATTTCTTCCCTGCCTTTTATCTAACATATGTGCCTTTTCCTCAAATATAATGGAAGTAAAACACTCTCGCTCACTGGCCAAGGAAAGAGAAATGTTAACCGCGTTACTTAAGATAATCCACCGCTGTGTTGTGAGCAGTTTCATGTAGGTGTGTTGTGATGGTTATAAACTAAAGGCATTAGGAACATGTGTATTTTTTAACTTTGTATTCTGTCCCTTTAACTGTAACAGGCTCATGAAGTGAAGCTCACATTATCTCTACTAGTTGACGTCATGGATGTATAATAAGAACTGGATACAGCGTGGGAGGCGGGGTCTCGTTCATTCCTATGAGAGCTGCTCATTGGAGCATGAAGACAAAATGGCCCAACTTTTGAGAGAGTGAAACGTCACGAAAGTATTCATATAATCCGTTCTTATTGTGCATCCATGGGTAAAGGTAAAACTCATGTAGTACTGAACACGTCACATGAACGTGCCGGGCGGCGCGGTCCCGTGGGTTAGATGCGCGTTCATAATGCCGAGGAAAATAACTCAGAATAACGTTAACACATTTTACAACTTGAGGACCGAATGTTTTTAATAAGGGCTATACAAGTGTTCATACTGGGTAATTTATTTAGTTAAAAAAAGTATCCAACGATTTACAGACGTCTCTTTCCCAATGTTAGTCAATGGGAAAAAGTCTTTCCGGGCCCAGCGACTGATACGGAAGTGTAGTACCGCCGTTTGGCCACAACGAATATTTTCATCAGAGTCCGGCGCACTTCCTGGAGGCTTGAGAAGAACCCGTATGTGCAGTCACAGAGCATGCGCCCCTTAAGCCCCGCCCCCCGAGCTCCCACTCGGCTCAGTAGAATTAATGGAGAGAAAATAAATCTAAATTCGGCTTTTAGTGCATTTTACAACTTTAAGGACCGAATGATTCTAATAAGGGCTAAACAATAGTTAATACTGGGTAGTTTATTTAGTTAAAAAAGAATTATTCACCGATTTACAGACGTCTCTTTCCCCATGTTAGTCAATGGGAAAAAGTTGTTTTAGGCCGGGTGACGTCACGGACTGATACGGAAGTTGCAGTACCGTCGTTTGGACACTACGAATAATGGGCACAGAGTCCGGCGCACTTCCTGGGGGCTTGGTTGACGTTAGATATGTAAACTTTAAAACATGGCTGTGTTTAATGAGCTCCAGGGTTTCAAATCATGAAAAAACATTTATTTATTTCACTTATATATACACACAACAGCACGTCAAACCTTTTAACAGAAGAAAAATCACATCCCGTTTCATACATTAATGATAAAAATGAATCATACAAATTTCACATTTGTGCCATTCATAACGATTGCTCGATCTTTAATTTCCATAACATCAATACTGATCCCTCATAAAAAGTAGAAGATTAATTACTTTGGTCTGTTTGCTTAACTTAACATCAATTCTGACATGTTATATCTTATCCTGCAGTACTTAATCATCTGGTTCCAGTGAGTCTGAAGTGGAAGCTGAACCCGTCAGTAGCCTTCGTTAGAGTCCGACTTCAGACTGAACTCAGTGAGTAAAGTGTGTCTTTGTCCTCAGAGGAGCTGCAGTGCGTCCACAGAGACCGTATCCATGGCCAGGCCGTTCTCCAGAGCGCTGTGATAGATCTCCAGCGCCTGCTCCAGCGGCAGCACCCCCCCCTCGCTCGTCTCGATGATGGCGATCGTCTCCCCGAACTCGTTACACATGATGGTCGGAGTGCTCTGCGTCTGAGAGGAGGAAGCAGAAGCAGTTCAACTGACAGCAGGAAGTTGTATTGATTCATTTGTTTATTCCACACATGGAAGTTATTTTTAAAACAAAACATGTACACTTATCCTAGTTGTTGTTTTTTTAAAGCGCATGGTGGGAAGGAGCAGGGAGAAGAAAATGTATTTGACCTGCCTGTTTGATAAAGCAATATTCTTTCAGTCTCAGTCGCTTACAAATACTGAAACATAAAACCCAATCAAAAGTCAACTTCATGTCTAATTACACTTTCTTTATACATTTTCTTAAACATTTTATTACAGCCCTTTAAATCATTCGGCAAATAATTCCACTTCTTTACGCCAAGAGACACTCCTCTGCTTTAAAGTAGTACGTGCAAACTGATGCTTAACATTTCATTTCCTCCTATGATCCTCTGAAATTAAAACAAATTCGTTTTGTATATTTTCTGGCTGTATTCTGTGTTTTGCTCTATGCATAACTAAAGCTGTCTGTAAGTCAAGTACGCAGATATTTAAAGGTGCTGTTTCAGTTTCATCCTTTTAAATGTTACATTTTGCCCACCCACAAAATGGTGAAATTGTATATTCATTACTCGGAGTTATCTTTAAACAAAGAATACAAAAAAGAGAAGAAGTCTTTATGAATGGGGGCTTGGTTAACAACAGCAACACTTCATCAATACTTCTGTCTACTAACTCACAACTCCTGCAGTATAATCCGAGCTCTTTTGGGAAGAAGTGAGCATGCGAGTGGATAAATGAGGATAACGTCTGAATGTACTGAACGACTTTGAATAACAGGAGCTTTCAAATAGCCAGTCCACTTTCACCTTGGAGGCCTGCTAGAAAGGTTTCTCAGCAATTCAAAGTGAATAATTGTTATACAAATAGTAATTTTGTGGGTTAGCTATTCCTTTAAAGGGGGGTCAAACTCAAATACACAGTGGGCCAAAATTAAAAAATGGGTACTAGTCGAGGTGGTTCAATGTTTATTGCAAAACGTATTGAAATGAACTCATTGCACATATTAAACCTGGAACTAACAAAGCTTAAATTATTGCCTATAAAAACAACATTAAATAATCAGTTGCATTCATTTCTTATGGCTCTATCTGCAGAGTCATTTCTTATGAGTACATTTTTCCACAGGCCAACAACAGCTTCAAAAAAACTATTTCCCTCAAAGAACAAACCAAACATGCCCTGTTGCCGTGCAGAAGGAAACATCCATTAAACTCAGTGTGCTGCTCTGTGAAGCTAGCTCAGATACTTGGCATCTCATCTTGGGGGCAAGGTCATCAATGTTTGGGCTCAGGCTCTGAGCTGAGGAGACCCTCAGGATGGAGTGAAGGTGTGCGTGCAATATACCGGCGGGCCAGATCTAATAGTAATTAGAAATTATCCTGCGGGCCGAAATTAAATCCACCAAGGGCCTGATTTGGCCCCCGGGCCTCGAGTTTGACACATGTGCTTTAATATAACTAAACTTGGCCCAGCTAATGACGTGCTTTTCTGATGAAAGTTTTATGTTTTTGTCAGAGATTTGAGAGTAGGATGTTCAAGAAGAATAGCCAGTTCTGGTATTCTTCTTAAACCTCTGAGGCCTTTTTCCAGAAACCTATACAAATAGTAATTTTGTGGGTTAGCTACTCCTTTAATGGTTAACCAGAAAAAACTAAATGGCTTTTTTTCCAGAGATTTAAGAGTAGGATGTTCATTCTGACCTGCTGCAGATCTGAGGTCTGTATCTGGATGATCTGCGGCTGCCCGTTAGCCAGCTCCACCGTCGCCGGGTCGACCACGGCCACAGCAGAGCTGGTCTCCATGGCGACGGCCGCTTCGTCCAGCCTCTGCTGCCGGGCGTGCGTCTTCTTGTGGTTCCTCAGGTTGGAGAAGGTCTTGAAGGCTTTGCCACACAGCGGGCAGACGTGCGGCCGCTCGCCCGTGTGTGTGCGCCGGTGCTCCACCAGGTGCATGCTCTGGATGAAGCCCTTCCCACACACCTCACAGCGGAACGGACGCTCGCCCGAGTGTGTGCGCAGGTGCTCCCGCAGGTGTGTGTTCTGACGGAAGCGCTTGCCGCACTCTTGGCAGGGGAAGGGCCGCTCCCCGGTGTGGACCCTCTGGTGAAGTGCGACTCCCGACGAAGACACAAACAGTTTTCCACAGATGGGACACTGGTGGGTTTTGGTTCTCTTCCCTGTGGCGCAGCGCGTTCGCCCGGGGCCCAAAGAGAAGTGACTCAGTCTGTGGAGTCGCAGGTTGGCGGGAGAATTGAGCTTCTTCCCACAAATATTACAATCTAAACCCCCACGCGAGAGACCGCTTGAATCCCCTGATTCTGTCTCTGCTGAGGTGGAGGGCTTTGAGCTCAGATCTTTCCCCGCCACTGCTTCTGTTTCTTTGTCCTCTTCTGTCCCCGTACCGGGCTGCACCAGGGTGGGGTGCAGCTCCAGAAAGTGTCCCTCTCTCTGTCTCCGGGTCAGGAAGCCGGCCTCGCAGTGGGGACACGGGAAAGGCGCCGGAGACCCCTGGTGTTGGGTGTAGCGATGAGCAGCTAACTTAGTAGGCCAGCGGAAGGTGGCGGGGCAGTCGGGGCAGCAGAGCGTGGCTGCGCTGGAGTGCAGCAGGCTGTGATGACGGAGGTTGGACGACTGGGAGAAGGAGAGGTGGCAGACGTCGCAGCGGTACGGACGCACGCCCGAGTGGACGAGTGTGTGCCTGGTGAGGTTGGCGAGAAACGAGAATGTTTTCCCGCATTCGGAGCACTGGAAGGGACGCTCCCCGGTGTGGGTGCGGATGTGGTTGCGCACATGGATCTGCTTCTTAAAAGTCTTTCCGCAGATGCCACACATGAAGCTGCGCTCGGTGACGTGGGTCTTGCGGCGATGGTGAACGAGCTGCAGCTGGGAGGGGAAGGTCTTGGAGCAAGTACGACAGGAGAAAGAGGTTTTGTCTGATGAGGCAGGTGGAGCGACAATAGCTTTGACGCCTCCTCCGGTGTCACCCAGGGGGGCAGAGTTAGTGACAGACTTCTCCTGCTGGGGCTCGATGGTGGTGCCTTCAGGTGGGGCAGACACCTCAATTTCAATGTCTTCTCCCTGCCGCTCCCCTTCTCCTCCTGTCATTTCTGGATCTTGTCCAGGTGTACCCATCTCTTCCTCCTTGTGAGAAGTCAGTATGTTGATCTTCAGCTCAGTAGTGTGTGAGTTCTTCTCTCTCGCCCTCTGTAGGATGGCGAGGGTAGAGAGAGACACTCTTCTTGGAGCCAAGACCTACAGAAAATAACAAGCATAAGTAAAATGAAATGCTGTTGTTACTCTGAGGTTGTGAACTAATTTGGAGGGGCGTCTGCTTATGTTACTACCGTGGAGGTAGGGGCTGGTGTGTCAGCTGAATTGCGGTGAATGGGGGCTGGTGTGAGGGCGGAGTCGCGGTTGAGGTGGGTTCTGCGGTGGTAGAGGTACTTGGTCATGTTGGTGAAGGTTTTGTTGCAGAACTGACACTTGTGGAGGGGGTCTGCAATGTGGGACTTCCTGCAAGACACCGGGAGGAAAAGATAAAACAGAAGTGATTACAAATATACGGTTTTAAGAATAAAGCTTTTAAGATTCAAGCACTTCAGTACAGCCTTGATCCATAGTAGAGATCAGTAGATATATCTTACCTGTGCATGATCAGAGTCATCTCAGTGGTGAAGCCGGTGCCACAGTCCACACACAGATACCTGGCCACGCCCGAGTGTGTGCGCATGTGTGTCTGCATGGAGGTGGCCTTCTTGAACACCTTGCCACACTCGGGGCACTCGTGCGTGCCCTGCTCGTGCACGCGCCTGTGAGCCGCCAGCCTGTTGACGGAGGTGAACGTGCGGCTGCAGAGTTCACACTTTTGGGGCTTGGCCCAGACTGCGGCTTTCTTCTCTGCCACTCTGATCCTAATGTCCTCCACCTTCTCTGTCGTCGCCTCCTCCCTCCCCCGCACCTCCTCGAAGCTGCTCATGACGCCTGGCTCCCCGCTCTCTTTGTCCTGACAGAGGAAGTGCTCCCCCTGGTGCTGGAGGAAGTCCTCCGGCGTCTGGAAGAGAAGGGAGCATTCTGAGCACTCATACGGGTGGATGACCAGCACCTCTGTGGCCTGCTGCTCCTCCCTCACGCTGGGGGCCAACCTTAACTCCAGTCTCTGCACCCCGTTCTCCAGGACCCCCGAGGACCCCCGGCCCAGCGCAGGCAGCAGGGGGGGCAGCTTGGAGCGGCGCTGGCTGGGCGAGGAGGAGTTATCTGCCAGAGCCTGAGCGGTGAGGATCTGCAGGTGCATGGTGGCAGAGCCGGGGGCCGCCGTCACCGGGGGCAACAGGGTGGAGCGGGAGGGGGCCGCAGGTTTGAAGACAGACTGACGTGTCTGCTGTTGCAGCTGCTGCTGAGCGAGAACCTGGGAAACACACAGAAATGACCTTCAAACCTCTTTCTGATTGAACTCCTCTGGCTTTCTGTTAACATTCCCCAGGTACCTGCGCCAGGATCTCCCCCGCCTGCTGCTCACTCAGCACGTAGTTCTGCACGTTGTTCAGAGGAGTGATGGTGCCGTCCTCCTGCAGCACATACTCCTGTTGCCAAAAACACACAGATTATTACATGTTTGGGTTCCCACAGCTTCTTAACGCTCAAATTCAAAGTCTTTCTGCTTAACTTTCCTACATTTAGGAACCAAAAACAGCAAAGTTTGAGAATCGCATTAAAGTGAATTATTTTTGTAGAAAACAATCAAGCTATTGCAGGGACATGGAGACAGTGTAAAAGTATTTTAAAATGATCGACGTTAGTAAAAAAACATTACAATATTTGTTTTTAGTCTTGCACAAAATATATATATGTAAGCACTTTCAACGTGTCTGTTTTGGTCTATTTTCAAAAACGTTCAAGGCCTTGATATTTTCTTCTTTATATTCACAAGCTTTCAATGATTTAAAAAAAGGACGATCGGTAACCATTTTATATTCAATCAATGTAGTGCATGCAATCAACCTGTTAGCCCCGAGCCTGTTTTCAGGTCTCCGGCTCGAAAATGACATTCCCAGAACAAATGACTCTATCTTCTAAAAGGGGTACATTAATAATCTTTGTTCTCAAAGCAAGGTTACATCTGGGAGCTGGATGTAGAACATTCAGAATCAATATAGATGTTTTTATTTTAAACTAAATTCAGATTGAACATAGTAAAAATGTAAATTATAGTGTCCGTCCAAAAAGAAAACATGACTTATAGTGAAAACCCTTGAATGATGGGAGAGTAGAATAAAAGCTTTAGGAATCCAAACTATAACATATAAAAAGTACCCTGTGTAAAGATCGATGCAAAACAACAAAAACACTTCTGGGGTCATTTTCCATATCTCTGGAACCCATTGATCGATTTTGATGATTGACACGTCTTTTTAACCGTTAGAGCCAATAGAATCGAGGGAAAGTTCATCTAAACATTTCCATTGAGGAGTGAGAGTGATGCCCACGCAGTTTGCCCAAAACCGGAAGCTGGGTTGTAGCTCGAATAGCAGCTAATATGAAATCTCAGTTTTTGACAAAAATGGAATGATGGATTATCATTAGGGATGCACGATAATTATCGGTCCGATATTAGGAATTATGACGTCATCCCGATAACAGTATTAATAGCCCCGATAATATACAATATATTTTTTGGGTAAAAAAAAATAAGAAATACTGCGGTGTGGGTGGATTGGGGTGAGGGGCGCTTGTTTTTCACTCGGCTCCTCCCGGTTTGCCAGTACTGTGGTATTAGTGGTTTAGGAAGAGGGGAGTTCTTCACAAATCCAGCGCTCCCTAACTCATGCCTGGCTGTGACGTAAATGGTGTGCGGCCGTGAAGCCAGGACAGTAAACAAACATGTCGTCGGTAGTATGGGACTATTTCAAAGTTTCAGAGTTAGATAGTTCGCTTGCTATTTGTATTAACAAATGCAGAAGTTCCACGAGGAGGGAAAAAGGCAACGAGCTATAATACTTCCAACCTGATTAGTCACCTGAAACATCGCCATCGCTACGATGGTGTGTTAAAAGCGTACGAAGACGCCTGCGCTGCTAAACTAGCGGCGAATCCAAAGCCAGCTGCAAAGGCACCGGGGCTTTCACCTATCAACGAGGCTTTTGAAAAAGGCAAGAAGTTTACCAGAGACGACCCCAGGGCTAAAACGATCTCTAACTTCATCATAGAAGTGATGGCGCTTGACGAGAGTCAAAACTGTTCTTGGCTTTGTTTTGTTCATAGTAGTAATGCTCATGTCATTTGCTCACTACTAGTCTTTCTTTTACCACCAGGTGTGCAAAAACTACAGGTACATTTAATATATATATATATATTATATTATTATCGGTAATCGGTATTGGTCTTGAGAAGCAGGAAGTTATCGGTATCGGTTTCAAAAAACCAATATCGTGCATCCCTAATTATCAGTAATCATTTCAAAGTGACACAGACACATTGGATTAACCTTCAGCAGCGTTGTTATCGTTTAAATGCCATTGAACACAACTTTTGATCAGAATAACAGCAAAGGTAAGACATATTTGCCGTGTTGGCTCCGTAAAGCTACGTGTTGTCTGGGTTTGCCTGAGCTGCCGCAGGTTTTGATCGCTCATTGATGATACTTATACGTCTAGAATCTGTGGAATCCCAGCTTTAATCTGATATCTTGTTTGTGCAGATCCGATAAGTAATAAAGTATTTCTACCGTGAGTTCTATGCTAAGTGCGTTAGCATTTTCCCGCTCAGGGCTAATTCAGAGGCGTTAGAGTTGTGTTTTGTTTCGGTAAGAATGGTTAATATCGTCGGTGAGCTGAGTTTCTTCCCGTTAAGTGGGGATGACACATTCATAGGTCGTTAAATGTTAAGAAGCCCTCAGACGCGGTTTCTTGCAGATGTTTTTGGCTCAAGAGGTGAAGTGAAGCTTGAATGTTATTCTATCATCCAGGCAATCTGATTCATGTGTTTTGATTCTCTAAAAATGCTTGAAGCCGAGGACTGTGGTGTTTGCGTAACAACCACTCAAACTAGTATTTCCTGAAATTACAGTGCAGTTGCAGCAAACCAATCTGTGCTGGCCAACACAAAACCAGAGGCTCGTTGAGATAAATGCTTCACTTTGAAGCACTTTGAATGCACTCTCAACCTCATGAAGTGAATGTAAAGTCAGAAACGTTCCAAGTGTCTTCACCGTGCAGAGCTTTTGAGCTGTGCATGCTGGCTCAGCACAGTGGAAAGTTTATGCGTAAATTACAGCCGTTACCAAATGTACAGCTCACATGTACGGTTGTTCCACCATCACCTTCCCTCTACAATGAGAATCGACCTCAGTGTTTGCCGCCTCCATGCACACAAACGCTGCTTCGATAGTCTAGGGCAGGGGTGCCCAACCTTTTTTGAACCGAGAGCTACTTTTAAAGTTGCCAGTCTGCCGAGATCTACCAGTCCAAATAGAGAGGCGTAGTTACTGACAGCCTACTGCCAGGTAAATACACACTTCTACTTGTATAAAACTGACCTTTGTACGATTAATACTCCATAAAATACTGCAGATCCTTTATCCTCTTTCTAATCTACACACATACAAGTATTTAACTGAAGTTACACAACAGTGTTGTTGATACAGAGTTGGAGTTCATTCACACGTCACTACAGTGGGTAATGTTTTCAAGAAACATTGAACAGTGCTGCCACATATGACACAGGACAAAAAGAAAATACTCTGAACTCTTTCTTTGCCATTAAAATTAGGCTTACTAATAAGACAACTCAGATCTGAAGCTACAGGAATCTGCTGCCAAAGTGCAATAAAAAAGACAACATTAATAGAATCAAACCCTTTTTTTGTTGCATTTTAGTAGATTATAAAAATAAATGCCTTTAATAGGATGCAAGCAACACTAGTTTCTTAACCTGAATTGATAATAGACTATAATCAATTTAAGTTTGCATTCTTATACCATTTTGTACAATAATTATAATGAATAAGTTCAAACAAACAAAAACTTACAGCTGATTAATAACGTTATCTAACTTGAGTTTTTATTATATCAAAAACCTGTTGAAATGTTATTTTTACTGTCCCCCAAAAAGCGCATCAGCAGCCTCCAGGAAAGCTTCTTTCACAACTTCGCCTTCATGTGTTTCTCAAGAACGTGACTGACACGATAAGATGCTCTGGTAGCAGCCTTGCTCTTGTTGTTGGGCCTGGTGAAAATGGACTGCTGTGCATTTAGCTGTCCTCTCAGGCCCCTCCCCTTTTGGAGCGTATGGCAGAATTAGGAGGGAATTCCGTCTCGTAGCGTTTGTGCACTGTTTTGAAATGCCGCTCCTAAATTACCCTTCTTCGATAAAGCCACGCTCGCATTGCAGATGAGACAGATGGACTTTGAATTAGAATAGATACAGAAATATTCATCCTCCCACTCGGAGTGAGAATTATATATTTTGGGCTTTTTTGCTTCTGCCATAATTGCGGTCCTGTGTGTGTGCGGACTGTCACTCCTGTTGTTGAGTGTTGACACCATGGTTGACACGGACAATGTCAGCGAAATAGTGCCCACTGCCCACCAGCCACGCCCCGACACATGGGGTCACGCCGGCCAATCACAAAGCTTTGATGCGTTCAAGTTCATTATTCTGGCACAGGAAAATTATGTTATAGGACATTAACGATAAAACAGAATATTGTTGTTCTAATTTTAGACACATCACGCGATCGACTGGGAATCTCCCCGCGATCGACTGGTTGGGCACCCCTGATCTAGGACAAAAACTATTAATGAAGAGGACGATTCCTTTCATACTGAACATAAATCTAGTTCAAAGATGTGAACGTGTCAAATCTAAATCTCTCCGGTCAAAATAATTTCCCCTTAGCGCAATACCGCTTCAGTTGCGCCACTTATGTGACAGACAAGAAGAGTATGTGACAGACAAGAATAGTCAATTCTAATGTCTAACACGTAATGTGGAGAAAGAGATGTCCTGTATGGGTTGATTGTGCGTTGATCTGTTGGTAATGCCTCGGGGTTCCGGTGGGCATGTAAACAAATGCATAATGCTGCGCTATACTTTGTGGCCTCACCCAGTTGCATAGCGACACTTATTGTTTAGGTGTCTTTTAATAAGCAGGTAGTCATATCATTAGCTAGAACTAGCTGGATCTGATCGATATGGACATAAACGCGAGTGAAGTCTAATCTGACGGGAGAGAGAGATCAGCTGCTGCTGACGAGTCGACACGCAGCTCTGCATGATCAGCGGTGGGCGGAACAAAACACACACTTCAGGTTAGAATATCACACATAGCTATTTTAGTTACCTCTCAAACTACCGTAACTAGTTATAGATATGTTTCTTTTTACTGTCTGGTCACTCATTACTGGATCCGCGAGCTGCATGATACTGACGGGCTGTCAGGAGGGAGAGAGCGCTCCGTTTATTATTCCCGTGTTATTGTAAATTACTGTACGCTTTTGAATAATGTAGTTAATCTACTATAATTAGTTTGTTTAATATCGAATGATATCAATTTGTTTTAAAGCTCAATAAATAACAAAGAAGACCTTTGACCGGCTCTTTTCTAATTTTGTCTGGAAGATTTAAACTTTAACGGACATTTTGACCGACAAAAAAATATTCTAACGGGAACTCTGATTCATTCGTTCAATAATTCTCCTCACCATGATCTCTGTGTTGCTCTGCGCGTTGCTGTGCGTGCTGCTCCTGCTGTGCGTCCTCCGATGCTCCAGCCAAGTGTCCGGGGAGTCAAAGAGAGCCAGACAGTCCAGACACTGGTACTGAACGGGCCCCGACATCTGACCCTCGGACCCTTCCTCTGTCTCCAAAACCTCACACAGCTCTGAAAGACAGTCATACACACTGACAGTTAGTGTTGTGTCTCACTATGCTAACTGTCACTTCACCTTTAATATATTTTACTTATGCTACTGTTTGCTCGTCTCTTTATATGTTGCATCGGCAATGCAGATTCAAAATTCAAAGCCTTTATTGTCATATGCACAACTGCTACTTTTTATTTTACTTTTTTTTTTAATTGTAATTTTTTTAATTTTATTTCAGAAATATTTTGGACAGTGTCTTAATTTCTCTTATGTACATTGCCTTGTGTTTTTTATGCTGCTGCAACGCAAACATTTCCCAAATTGAGATCAATAAAGTACCCATCTATCTACCTACCAACCAACCTACCTATCCACCCATCTACCTATCCATCCATCCATCCATCTATCTACCTACCTATCCATCCATCTATCTACTTACCTACCAACCTACCTACCTATCTACCTACCAACCAACCTACCTACCTATCCATCCATCGATCTACCTACCTACCTATCCATCCATCTATCTATCTACCTACCTATCCATCCATCCATCCATCTACCTACCTACCTATCCATCTACCTATCTATCCATCTACCTACCTATCCATCCATCTATCTATCTACCTATCTACCTACCTATCCATCTATCTATCTACCTACCTACCAACCTACCTATCCATCCATCTATCTGTCTACCTACCTATCCATCCATCTATCTACCTACCTACCTATCCATCTATCTACCTACCTATCCATCTACCTACCTACCTATCTATCTATCTACCCATCTACCTACCAACCTACCTATCCATCCATCTATCTGTCTACCTACCTATCCATCCATATATCTACCTACCTACCTACCTATCCATCCATCTATCTGTCTACCTACCTATCCATCCATATATCTACCTACCTATCCATCCATATATCTACCTACCTATCCATCTACCTACCTATCCATCCATCTATCTATCTACCTACCTATCCATCTACCTACCTATCCATCCATCTATCTGTCTACCTACCTATCCATCTATCTATCTACCTACCTACCTATCTATCTACCCATCTACCTACCAACCTACCTATCCATCCATCTATCTGTCTACCTACCTATCCATCCATATATCTACCTACCTACCTATCTACCTATCCATCCATCTATCTACCTACCTATCCATCTATCTATCTACCTATCCATCTATCTACCTATCCATCCATCTATCTACCTACCTATCCATCCATCTATCTACCTACCTACCCATCTATCTACTTATCTACCTACCTACCTATCCATCTATCTATCTACCTACCCATCTACCTACCTATCCATCCACCTACCTACCTATCCACCTACCTACCTATCCACCTACCTACCTATCCACCTACCTACCTATCTATCAATCAATCAATCAATCCATCCACCCACCCATCTACCTATCTATCTATCTACAGCGTCGTTGTTGGAAATGAACATCTTAAAAATAATATACTCCTCCAGCAATGCAACATACAAACAGCGCTCAATTAAATGAAATAGCTTGAGAACCTAACATTGTATAAGATGCACATCAGAAAAAAAAGAGGGCAATGAGAAGCTGAGGGTTTCAATGTATACTGTTCCCTTATTGCAGATGTCTACTACTCCCTGTAACTGCAAGTATATTTCATTGCAACTGGTGAAATGTCCTCAACTGTCTTCTAATTAAAGAATGAAAAAAATGAAAAAAAATTGTTCGAGAACCTAATGGTGCAATTATAAATACATATAGAATAGAAAATATCCCAACCAATGTCTGGACAAAATCCATGTTTTATTGATTGCTCAAAATACACACAATCTCATCTCACCTTGGTGCTCGACCTCCATCCCCGCCTCCCTCATGTGCATCTCCTGGTGCTGCAGCAGCTCCTCTGGGTTCACCAGCAGGGCCCCACACTCCAGACACTGGTACTGCTGGGTCTGCCCCAGCTCTGGGACGCCCTCGAAGTGCATGACCTCCCCTCCCTCTCCTTCTCCATCACCTTCTTGGCCCGTGTGGATCTGCTGGTGGATCAGCACATCCTCCAGGGTGTTGAAGAGCTCGTGGCACTCGCTGCACATGTACTGGTGCTCCACATACTCTGTCTCCTCCTGCTGCTCCTCCATGCTGGTGTTTGTGTGTATTAATGTGTGTCTAATGTTGGTGTCAAGGGTTTGATGAAAGATGATGTCTTGGTGTGGAATTTCTCCGCTGTGTCCAATGAATTAAGACTGTGTCATCAAGAAGGCCAGTGTAGGTGCACATCTGTGGTAAACAAAACATTACAATGTTAAAGCAACAGAGGGTGAAAAGTAATCAGATCTTGTACTTGGTGTATTGCTGGTAAAGGTGGAACTCATGTAAAGTACTTTATTTACTGCTGGGTAGCATGTGTAGCTAAAGTCGTATTTAAGTGTTGATCATATTGTTTCTCATTTATCTATATCTGAAAAGTAACTGTAGTGGAGTGAAAGTACAATATTAACCTCTGAGTTTTGGTGGAGTAGAAGTAAAGGAGTAGAAGTAAAGTGTAACATAAAATGCAAATACTCAAGATAACTACAAGTACCTCAAAAGTATACTTTAGTACAGTACTTGAGTAAATGTACTTAGTTACTTTACACCAGTGCTTTTCAAACTGTGGTGCGCGACCCCTGGTGGGTCGCGGAGGTACTGCAGGGGGGTGGCGGGAAGATTTTATTATTTTCTCCTTTTAGCTTTGTGAAGCACCTTGAGTGATGACGTTGTTTTTAAAGTGTGCTATATAAATCAAATGTATTATTATTATTAAATTGTAAACAAACACTGCTCGAAAATATCTCATTGGTCAGAGAGCTGTGGGCATAATGCTGCCTTTTGCAACATCCTACTTGTGTGAATAGGCTTTTTCTGCTGTTGCTGCCATCAAAACCAAATACAGATCAAAGCTGAACATTGAGAATGAACTGAGAGGCAGTCTCAAAACAACAGCCCCGGTTTGAGAAGACCTGCAAGGGAAAGCAAGCACACACAAGTCATTGATGAGCTATGTGTGGAATAGGAATGGTAAAGTGATGTGTGGTTTGCAACCTGCAGTAGAAATTGTAGTTAATTCATATATTTTCCTTAAAGAAATTTGAATTTAAAAATCTACTACTCAGGGAAGAAGGCCAACCAGTTTTAATTAGGCCAAATTAATTCACAGTATCTATTACAAGCACTTTTGTTCATGTGTAATCCATAATAAAAGTATAGGTGGATCTTTGTATCTTCTTATTATCAGCAGAGAAAATGTTTTTACAACAATATACAATTAATCCTACCAATATAGATGGGAACCGGGTTGGGGGGGGGGGGGGGTCCCGAAAATATTTCCAATTACCCAAGGGGGGGCCTGACTGAAAAAGTTTGGGAACCAATGATTAAGCAACAATACTAAAGTAGCAGTTATGAACCAGCCATCGAACGAGTAATAGCCTACATGACTTCAATGTTACTCTCAACGATACATGCGTTATTAGTATGTACAATTAAAAGAATCAACAGTGTTTACATTCATCATTTTTAAATAACCCCGCGATAAAACATCGCACTGTTCAGCCGTTAGCCAGATAGCCGTTGGCCCTCTAATGCTAACAACACGAGCGCCACTCATTAACAACTTGCAAGTCATTGTCTGATGTTTCTTCCAAATGTGATTCATATCATTCTGTACAGTGTGCCATGGCATATGGAGAGCTGTTGGCGGCGCTCCCTCCGATAATGCAGACCTGTTTTCGGCACCGCGGTTTCCTGACGGCGGCTCCCCGGTTCGGCGGTCCGTCAGGCGGCGCTACCCACTTTTCCCCGAAGCTCAACGGCTGCGACGGCGGGCCCTTCTTTCCCTTTAGCTCTCATTTACTCTCGTTGGACGATCCCTCGTGTGTTCACCCCTCTCCGGTCACACAAAGCGTATGCCCTTTCTGTTAGTCCCGTGTTACCATGTATGGCTTGGAAATAATTAAATATGAAACATGTCCGTGGGAAAATGTCATTTCAATGCGTGAAATGAAGCGTTTGTCCGCCGATCGACTCCATTCTTGTGATACGAAGTCCCGCCCAATGCGGTAGTCTCAAAATGTCCGAGTCTGTGATTGGATGGGCTGACTGTCGATCATAAACTGAGTTTTACTGCTGGGTATTGTAGTTTTTTGTCGACTGTTAGAGGAAAGTTTTCTCTCGCTTTACTGCAGTTGATGGGTGCCGGCCTTTTTCAGAATCATTCTTACTCAGACTTAGTTTAGTATAGTTACCTAACACACAAAAAATAAAATGAAACAAACTAACATTCAAGAAATTATTTTTAAAATAGTGACAACCCTAAGCAAATTAACACTGACCTAAAAAGTATAGGCTGAAGCCTCAGCTTATTACACCTACCCTTTTTACACTAACTATTTACTAAATGTTCATTCAAAGTACACACTAAAATCGTAAGAAATAAACAAAACTAAACAAAAATATATAATGTTGTGTATTTTGATTGAAAATGTATTTTGGTAACATGATTCATGTGTTTTCCAACATAGTTTTAATTGAATACATATTCAAAACAATTATCATTCTGATATTAATAAAACAGTGATTTCCGTCCTAAACTCGAATGTACGCGAGTGTGGACTCTCAGACCCAATGACTCATTCCCCCAGAAACCCTTGCGCGCTTTACGTAGTTGTGCGTCAACTCCCCAGTCCCCCCACCATCACCGTTCTACAGAGGAAGAAAGGGGGAGACGGGCAACCTATACAGAACGCTGTAAGTGTAGTTTATATTCATTCCGAATATTAAAATACACATATATATAGCTTAAGTTTGTGCCGGTCTGGCCACGAATAACGTCCAACCTTGCCTCGGCTTTAGTTCATACAAATATGAGCGGCAGCGGGCGGCCCAGGACCAGCTCCTTCGCTGAGCCTCCCGGAGCTCCCGGGTCCGCTGCAGCCGGTGCCGGATCAGCAGCAGCCGGTGGGAGCTCGACAGGAAAGACTGGGGCTTCAACAGCCAGTGGAACCAGCTCGACGAGCTTCGGGAATCTGAAACTGCCTAGTGAGTATTATTTTTTACATTTGTATACCCCAAGAGCAATATACATATTATTACAAAGACCCAGGTTGAGGGTTATTTTTAGATAAATGTGCCGGAGTGTACTTAGTGTCGATCATTGTCGCGAAGCTAACCCCTAGCAGTTAGCTCGTTAGCTAACTTAAGCTAGCTGCTAACGTTAGCTGTGTTTTTCATTAACGAACCATTGCGATCAAGGGCTTTTATCGCATAGCTAACATGATCGTTAGCTGCTGATGGCAAGCGTGGAATTAAAACATCCATATTTTGAAGGTAAAACATGTTTATGTAAATGTTTTCGGCAACATTGCCTAACCCTAATTTTGCATTGAAACCCAAGAATAGAGTTGGTCAAATGTATTCGTCATTAATATCAGATGTGGAAGCTAGTTAGTCTGCTAACATTTGCGAAGAGTAGGTTTAAATGATCCAGTCTAACTTTTTAGGCGTCGTCCTCGGCCCAGTCTCATATTGAACAGAGTTTTTTTGCCATACTAGGGTAGCGATACCAAACGTCGTGTGGACATTTAAATCAGTGGAAATATACCAAAGAGTTCCAGATTATAATGTATAAGCATATGGCAACCATATCTAACCTAACTTAATGTCACAACTCATCTTGATGCATACACTGGTGCATAGTGAAAGAATCAATGCACAGATTTAAACAGCTGGTACAGTACTTATGTCCATACTAGGCCATCTTTCAGCAAGAAAGTGAGAATTATAGTTTAGTGTTGTGGAAACAGTTTGGTAAACCTTGTTTTGCCTCTTTACCTTTTCAACTGAGTTGGCATCCTTTAAAGATGAAGTTCTAAATTGTAGTACATTTCTGTACACCTTAGATGAAGCTATTATTCTCTTAAGTAGCCTGTGGTTAATATGCTCACCATTGTGAAGCCCCTACTAGAAACCCTGCTCTGCCAACAGCAAAGTCCCTCCAGTTGTTTTACTGATGTGATGACAGGAACATGCAGAATGCTCAGGGGTCATGTAGCAGTGAGCTGAAGATAAGCAGGGTTGGACAGAGTTTTTCCAAAGAACATACATGGAAAGACTAAAGAAAATATCATGTTTTTGTTTAAATAGGGTGGGGTGGAAATGCAGTTATTCGGCCCCTGACAAGTAATTCTAAGAACAGTTGAAATAACAAAGACAATGAATGAAAGTCAACGTTGTCTTAAGCTGCTGGCTGTGTAGTGAGGCTTAGCTTGTAGGTTAGTACATGCAGTCCATCAGCAGATCTCCATCAGGTGATTTGCTCTATTCACACAGGGTTTCTATTTAAAAATGGTTTCCCTTCCTGGAAGATGTAAAGGTCCCTGACAAATGAGACATTCTAGTGAAATATTATCTGTGTCTAATCTTGAAAAAGATCATATGCCGGTCAAATAAAGATTGTGGTTGGGGCATTCATATTTATTACCATATTAATTTGCTTATTGCCTACATTTTATTTAAAATAAATGAAGTCCAGTAAGACCCGTGCATAAACAGGCACATAACATTTAATTATGTTCTGACGACTTCAAAATGAAATAATTTCCATTCCCTATCATCCTTTTTATAGATAAAAAAACAAATTGCCTCGAATAATAACTCTTTAAAAGCAAACAGAGTTTAACTGTAACCCATAACTGACTCATAATGGGTTGGGTGGCTCATTTGACTTCTTATAAGACCTCGGCATGAAGGAACCTCGCTGTAATGTATTAGCTCTCCTCTGGTGTGGTGATGCGTAAGGCTGATTGTTTGCACTCATAACATGGTTGGCACAATAAAAAGTAAAAGGTTCTACGACCCAGTTTGGCCCACTCTGCATATATTTTTGCTCAAATTCCCGATGAAGACTTTGAAGGCTGTTGACAAATTCAAGCGTCCATTACCAAGCATCGCTGTCATCTCAGCAAGAGGGACTGTGGCGTGGCAAACACATCGCTGGCACCTTCTTGGGTTACCTGATTACCAAAACCATAATTCACATACATTGCTTTTTATTTGATGCTCTCTTTTTAGTTTTCACTCCAAAATCATTTGACTCGATTGCCCGGGCCCAGCAGAAGTTCAATACAAGTTCTCTTTTAGACGAAATGAACACTAACTGGCTAGCTCTGAAATATCTCTTCCCTTTTGCCTTTTGGCCAGACTAAAGTGTCTATTTTTGCACACAAAACTAAGGCATCTTCTGTGAGATATGCATCCGAAAACCCCGGGCTCCACATTTGACTGCATGGGAAAAACCGAGCTTGAGGCAGTTTGCCTGCTCGGACATGGTTATATATTGTTCAGCAGCAGCGATGTTAATAAGGTCACTTTCTGCAACCTCTGCTCTCAGTGATTGTGCCAATACTGCGAATCACACAAGACAGATGTCACTATTAACCTCTATTTATTGTTGTCAGATGACTTGGCAGCATGTTAAAGTGATTTAATCAATGACTTTGGTGCAGCAGTGAAGGAATAACCTTTCTTCATTAACGGGTAGCGTTAACAAGCAACAATTAAATCACTCTGAGAACAGAAACAAAAAATGATGTCAATGGTGTCTTTGACGATATTGACAAACATTTAATGTCTTCATTTAAAGCAAGAGGTGACAGAGATCAGCTAAGCCTGATCAGAGATACATTATTTTGCAAATCAAAGCTTTTAGGTTGCTAACGGTCAATGTAAAGTGACAAATAATCTGTTTTTAGCGGGCATATATGCATGAGATTCATCGTCTTATATCAAGAAACTCTTGCTTAGTTAAGTCAAAGTGAAGCTGGACTAATCCACATTCAATTCTCCATCAATGTCATTATCACTATTACATTAAGGTGCCTGAGCAGTCATGTCAATCCCCCGCCTCATTTGACCTCACTTTAGAAGTGATCCATGCAGGGTGGAATATAGATTTAATATGTAGGAAAAAGAGAGTACATTATCAGCCCTTGATATCTGTCAAGGCCAAGTGCTAATCCGGTTGCGTTGAGGTATTGAAGGGAACAAGTAGGATCAGTGCATTGCAAGAGCGTCTGTTTGGGGGCTAAATGTGGACGTCAACTGCTTAACTTAAGGCTCCTGATCAACAAATGTAGTTATTTGTATTTAATGTGATCATGTTTGATGTATGGTCAGTTAACGCATCTTATATTGTGGAGGAGGGGAAACCTTTAGGCGTATGGATTAAGGCTCCAATAGCTTTGGAGTGATTTATCCAAGCCACACCCAGAGTAAATCCCTCATCAGACGAGGTGTCCACTAATGACAAAGTACTTGTTGCAATTGCGGATAATTTCATCAAGTTAAAAGTGTGCCTGTGTTTTACACTTCCAAAGGTGCTCCGAGCTAATTGCTTGTTAGTGTGGGTGTGGTTTCGTCACTCTGCTCATCCCAGTTCTCTTACTCATCAGGCGTGTGCTGACTATGAGAAACCAAAGCGATTCACTGACAGCTGGGCAACGTGCTCATCGTTGCATTCATTATTCAAGGCACTATCATGCCACAGCTGCTCCATATTAATGTGCTCCCTTCTGACTTCACTTGTTTAAAAAAAGAGTGTGAAAGTGATGCTAAAAGGAAAAACAGAGGAACATTGTTTTGAGGATACAGGACTTTGCAGGAACCACAAAGTGACTGATCTCTAAAGATGAGTATTTTGCGCTGCCCTGGGGGGGGGGGGGGGGGGGGATGTAGGCCAATCATGTGGATAAGCTATCGGCCGTTAACTAACAACCTTGAAACATTTCAGGCTAGAAAATTGCAAAAATACCAAATTACACAGTTGTCTTTTGTCCACACGAGTCAATTGGTAAAGCTTATTTTGGTTTTATGATTATATTTTTTTATACAGACAGAAATAGCAGTCGATGAAGCCAAAATACTGACTCGTTTTTTTTGCCAATTCATGGGAGAGCCCAAAATGCTTCATTGTCTGACTCCATTTTGAGACTCGGAGACCTACTAGAGATCAGGAGGGGTCCTGTTGAGACAGGCGAAGTCAGCGAGCTCAGGAAATAGGAGCACTTCTGGGTGTGCTACTGTCCACATCATTTTTATCACAGGCTCTGACAAGCCTTTTGGCAATGGGCCTCTTCTCTGCTGTTCTTCCCCTTCTAGTGTCTTTGCTCCTGGTGCCGGTTTGTCAAATCAGTCTTGACCCGACACAGGCGCAACAAACACTGAGCAGCAACTTGACCCCAACGAGAGCTGTCAGTTACAGTCAGATCTTAAACATCTCACTTTGCCTGATTTGCACACAATAAGAATATCTGTACCTGTGTTTTACCTCCTTAAGAAACACTTATAGCTACGACTGCTACGTTATTATATTGATACCCTGATACGAGACTAGATAACGTCTCAGATAATATAATATTGTAATAGCGTAGGTGGTGTCTTTTTACTGGTTTTATACGTTTTAATTACATGAAATTGCAATGCTCCCCGGGCGCTGTACACTAGCTGCCCACTGCTCCTAGTACTAGACTCCTGGTGCTAAGATGGCTTAAATGCAGAGAACAAATGGGGCTGTGTGCTCTGCATGTGTGACCATTTAAAGAGGGTTTCATCCCTCCCAATATAAAGCGATGTCATTTTCTGAATTTATGAGATTGTTATAGCTTTTATTTGCCTTTACCCACTTAGTCAATGAATACACATTCCTGATGACCAATGTTCAACATTCTCATTGTGTAAATATTTGGTGAAAGAAACCCTACAAAGGTATTTGATAAGAAAATATAATCTGTATATCAAACATAAGCCTAACCCTATCCTAGTTAACCTAGATCTTACTATTTTATAATGTATCCAGTGTTTCCCACAGAATTTGATTCTATTCGTGGGGGCACCGCACAAGAAAAGCCAAAGGCCCCTTAACCTATTCGGGTGGTCCACGCATCCACCCCCCCTCAAATAAGATAATACATGCGAGTTCATGGCTACTGTAGACAACGTTCTTGTTGCTCTGTGTTGCGTTGTTAATGAGTGAAACACACCGGAGTTGAGGATCTGTGGGGTTTATTCGCCCAAAAATATAATTTACAATGTAGGCATTTAGCAGACGCCTTATTCCAAAGCGACTTACAACGACCAATTACAGGGACATTCTCCCTGGAGTAACCGAGGGCTAAGTGCCTTACTCAAGGGCAAGTGGTGTTCCAGGCAGGATTTGAACTCGCAACCTTCCGATCATCAGCCCACCTCACTATCCATTAGACCACCAAAAAAAACAAAAACGATTTCCCTTCGATTCTATTGGCTCAGGAAGAGATGTCACATGTCAACATCGAACAAGGGGGGCCAGAGATAAGGAAAATCCACCCAAATGGCCCCAGAAGAGGTTTTGTTTGCTAAATCTGTCTAAAGAGGTCAAATATCACTTGTTTTGCATCAATCTTGATACAGGGTACTAATTATATGTTGTACTTTGGATTGCTAAAGCTTTTAGTCTACTAACCCATCATCCAAGGTTAGTTTTCACTATAAGTACAACATATTTTTTGGACGGACACTATAATTTACAGCTTTTTACTATGTTCAATCTGAATTTTCTTTAAAATAAAAAACATCTATATTGATTCTGACTTTTCTACATCCAGCTCACAGGTTTATCATTACTTTGAGAACACATATTATTAATGTAACCCTTTTAGAAGGGAAGATATGGTCATTTGTTCTGGGAATGTCATTTTCGAGCCTGAGACCTGAAAACCAGGCTCGGGACTTAACAGATTAAGAGGTTAACTGTTGTATGGGTACAGGGTATATGTATATGATTGCAATGTGGACTTTGAGAATGCAGAGGTTTTGAGCTGAAACTGTAATTGACGCAGAGACACAGGTTAAACCTGCAATCCCTGCTAGTCACCTGGCCCTTTCCAAGCCGACCTAGAACCAAGAGTGTATCTGCCGGGCGTCGGCCAATCATCTCCCAGAGGAGAGCCAGGCCCAGTGAGCGGTGTCTCTGCTCAGCAAGAGGTGTGCTGCATTTATAACACAAGACAAAACGAGAGCACCATAGCGAAACGTTATGTTGCAATAGTCATTTCATTCAGATTCCTTTTTTGTGATAATCATTAGAAGCCAATACAGTAATTGACAATAAAATGAGATGCATTGCACAACCATAGGTTCTGTCGAGCTGCACCATATGTGTTTCTCCGGTTTATAAAGAGGTTGGAGCTGGTTTCACTCAGTGGGGCAGCGGGACATTGTTGTGTGAAGAATCAGCAGCTCATTACCAGCAGCCAGTGTGTGTCTGGGGAGCCACCAGATTGGTCACAAATCTCTCTCTCAGGGAAACTGGATTAATAGCCAAACTGCAGAGGGTCATTTCACTTGGCTTCTCACTCGTCTAAACTTCTGTTCATCAAAGAAAATATTGGGATTTTTATTACAAAAATATCCATACTTTTCACATAATCAGAAACAGGTTTATTACCAGGTAGGTTGAGACGTAAGAGGAATTTGACTTGGTGTTGTGGTGTACAAGTAAAACAAACATTTAAAAACACAGATAGAGAACTATTTTACATATTTAACTTGGGTGTCATTTAGGCTTTTTCTAACGAGGTGTGTTTTCTGCCCACAGGAGACAGTGGCAAGGTGACGACGGTGGTAGCCACACCCGGCCAGGGCCCCGACCGCCCACAGGAAGTCTCTTATACAGACATAAAGGTTATAGGGAATGGCTCCTTTGGGGTGGTCTACCAGGCTCGCCTCATCGACAGCCAGGAGATGGTGGCCATTAAGAAAGTTCTCCAAGACAAGAGGTTCAAGGTATGTTTAGAGAAGCTTACACTAACCAGTAGGGGTGTAACGGTACACGTACCCGTACCGAAATTATTCGGTACGGGCCCTTCGGTTCGGTACACATGTGTACCGAAGTGTACCGAACGAATATAACGTTACACTTAAAAAATTGAGAACGTGAACAACTTCTTGGAAGTAATCTCAGGTGCTGCGTCGCAGCATTCAGAGTATTTTGCTCCCATTGTGTTCAACGCGTCATAGAGCGAGCAAGTCATTTCATTGGACGAGAGGCATACTATGTCAGAGGGATGCGTTCAAATGTAGTCAGTAATTTGAGGAACTGTCTAAATGGCGAACGCAGATAAAGTTGAGCTCGAAAATCCTCCAGCATCATTGAAGTCTCCGGTTTAGGAATATTTTGGTTTCGCAGTTACGTACAAGGATGACGGACAAAGACAGGTGGACCCAACCAAAGCTGTTTGTCGGCATTGTTCAACTAAAATTGGTTACGCGGCTGGCAATACATCAAACTTGCACACTCTTGAAAAGGCATCACCCGAACGTGAATATCACCGGTACCAAAAGAAAAAAGACTGAAGTGCAAACCCAACTCCCGCTAGCATTTAAGCCTCCACCACTCGCAGAGAGTTCAGACCGAGCCAAAGCTATTACAAACACCAAATATCCTTATGTTGCCATGTTAGCAAAGCGCTACCTGGCTGTATCTGCTACCTCTGTCCCTAGAGAGGGTGTTCTCCACAGCAGGAGACATTGTTAGTGCCAGCAGATCTGCCCTTTCGGCAAGCAATGTGGACAAGTTAATCTTTCTTTAAACAACATGAAAATACAATGACAAGCAAGTCCTAATGTCAAACTGGCTGCTTAGGTACTAGTACAGTTCAAATACAGATTATTTCAGTTAATTAAAAAGCTGCACCTTAATGTTTTTTTTATTATATTTTGTATTTATTTGAGTGAATATTCACAGTTTAATAATAATTTGAAAAAAATATGTTATGTTTTGTGATAATTTGTTCTGCTGTACCGAAAACGTACCGAACCGAACCGTGACCTAAAAACCGAGGTACGTACCGAACCGAAATGTTTGTGAACCGTTACACCCTACTAACCAGATCATTACTGTTTGGGGGTGCTTCATGGAGCTTTTGAAAAATAATCTTGGTAATCAATAAAACCAAAGGGCGGGGCAACGGGAATACGATTATAAAGTGTAGTAGCTCACATCATATTCGTTCAGTTTTATTTTCTGTACTTTGTTATCCCTGTATCATCTGTATACTGACCTGTGTTTATTTACATGCCTAATCATTTGATTGTACACCGTTTTATGTATGTGTAATGTTCGTTATATTTGAAAACTTCAATACAAATATTGTTAAAAAAACAAGATCATTACTGTTAAAGTTGCACCTACAAAGAAGTGGTAATGGATTTGTTGTAGACGCAAATCAGTTTGTTTAATACATCCTGACTGAGGGACCTGTGCATGTTTGTAATGAGTCCTCTTTTTCCTTTCTTCATTACAGAATAGGGAGCTGCAAATTATGAGGAAATTGGACCACTGCAACATTGTGAGGCTACGTTACTTCTTCTACTCCAGTGGAGAGAAGGTGTGTACGCACTGACGTGACGTTTTAATGCAGCATGAATCAGGTTTCTAGACGAAGCACTCTCCCTCCACACCCAGCATGCATCAGTGATGACTCATAGACACGTTTCAGACAAGTTGATCCTGGTCTTATTGTACATTGAGTTCCACTCTCTTTACTTAACGGTTTGCAGGTTCAAGCTCTTACATAACACTACACAAACTAAATACTTTTGCCTCTGTTACATTAATGAGCTGTAATATCCTATTCAGTCATTATTTACACTCTGTTGTAATATGTATTATTGCAGGCTAACTGTGTTTACACTGATAAGAATATACTTTAGTTTAATTAAAAAAGCTTAAAAGTTTAGTTTCAAAAATTAAATTGATTAGAAATGGTGTATATTTTGCAACAAATTAGCTGCTTCATCTGTAATTGTTGAGTTAATTGTTTGCAGCAAATATTTACTTAAAGGGGACCTATCATGCAAAATGCACTTTTTGATGTCTTTTATACATAAAGATGTGTCCCCTGTGTGTCGGGGAACTCACGCAGCGTCAGGAAATAAAACCCTCTCTCTTTTCCTCCGTATCCACATCTCTAAAAACAGGGCTACAACGGAGCTGATCCAGATTTGCGTCCGATATGACGTAATATCGTTTCATCACCGCAGTATTTAGTTTAGACAGTAGCTGCCGGGTCCCGCATGAGCTCAGCCCCCTCCTTTTTTATTTATTTTAAAGCTTTATACCCAAAATCAGCACTTTAGAAACAGGAAGTGAAACAGAGAGATATGAGGCATGGTTAGAATCGGTGATCTGTTTGGTATTTTGAGCAAAACACTTCATAGACATGTTTTTTATATATCTGAGACCTACGCTATTGCCTAAAAATAGCATGATAGGTGACCTTTTAAGAAAATAAGTCCAGAGTATGAGATAAATATTTCATTATGTCCTTTTTAAAAGCAATCTGATAACTAATCTGCAAACAGTATTTATTTGTTGCCTAATTACTCCCCCCATGAACCACACAACACATTTTAGTAAATTGGTTTTATACTCCTTACATCCCTTTCTCTTTCCACCTATAATTAAACAACCTTTTTCCTTTTTCCCCCCTCCTTCTCAGAAAGATGAGGTGTATTTGAATCTGGTGCTGGACTTCGTTCCCGAGACCGTGTACAGGGTGGCTCGGCACTTCAACAAGGCAAAGACCACCATCCCCATCATCTATGTTAAGGTCAGTACACACACACACAACATACTCTCACACACACACACACACACACACACCAGGGACGTGCACAGGTACGGGTTAATGTTGCCAGGGCAACGGCCCGTTTGGCCTTTTTGGCTGACCTGCCCCTCTGGAGAGAGCGAGAGTTTATTTAAATGTTTTCTGTTGTGGCCGAATCAACATGATAAGCCCACAATTAGTAGCGTCTCGCTGCGGGAAACACACTTTGTCAGCGCTGTCATCTGCCGGTGCTTTAAAGATCAAATGCAAAGCTTCCAAATATGCTACATTTTTATAGAAATGTTGTTTTTAAGACTGCCTGTATTTAAAAAAAAAATTAAATCGAGATAATACACCCGAAAAAAAGCTTTTTATTGATACAAAACTTGACCCAAAGCCGTCTGAATTTCTGACATGACCTTCCCAGCAGCCTCCGCGCGCGTGACGTCATACATGCCAACAGTCTCTGGACCAAACATCCCGACTCGGCAGTCTCGGTCACAAGTTTTTCGACAAGAAAACTGAATTAACATGGGTTATTGTTGTGCTTTTTGTTGTACGAACGGTGCGGGATCTGGGAGAGTTTTTCATGTATTTCCCAAAGACCAAATCATCCGCAAAAAATGGATTTAGTTAGTGAATCGTGTTGGCTGGCAACCGACAAAATGGAGCAGGTTGTGTTCTGATCACTTCGCGTGTGATGCATACGAGGTTGATCCTGCTATCATCAAGTCTGTTGGTGCAGAAGCATTAATAGTATGTCGGAGGCTGAAACCCGGAGCCGTCCCCTCCACATTTCAGCACAAGAAACCACTGAAAGAACGAAAGAGCCGGGCGATGGAGAAACGACAAAGAATTAAGGGAGGCGCTGCGCTGGCAGCTCTGGGAGGGAAAAAAACATTTTGACTGTTTGCGCTCATCCTAATTTTCGGCCTTGATGTAACAATATTCATAATTAAGTCAAGGTAACACCCTTTTCACCCCGGTTACACGTTTCATTTGCCCTGTACGATGGGCGCTGTAAGTGATGAAAGTGGGGGGTGTTGGCTTATCAGGCGTCCGCAGCTCACAGCCAAAGTGGGTGTGGGATCGAGCGAGAGGGATAAATGCAATTTATGTAAACAAATATTTCCAAGGCACTCCTTTATAATTATTTGGATAAACAGGTTTGAAATCATTTCAATGTATTTGTTCTACTGAACGATTTTCTGGCAGGGGGGGGAGCCAGCTAAAATCGCGCCTAGGGCAGCAAATTGGTTAGAACCGGCCCTGATGGTGTAGGAAACGGGCTCCGTGTTACAAGACGGGTCTGGGGTTTGGCGGTACCACTGCACACACACACACACACACCGCTGCAGACTCTGCACGAAGGAGCCACGGTGCTGCAGCTCCTGATCGGAGCAGAGACACACGTTCACTAAGCGGAAAAACTATATCCTGTCACAGAGATCTGCTATTTTAAATGTTAAAGTCAACACATATCGACCCTAAATAAAGTCTATATTAAGAACGAGAGATGTTTTGACATTATGGCTTAAACAAATGACAAATGAGCCCCGAACAGCCCCGGCCCATTTTAACCCCTGGCTAGAGGCCCTATTTTATCAGTATGTCTGGACTGCACAGCAGTTACAATGGTCAAACTATTAGAACAGAATTGTCCCCATTTTGTCTTTAATAGTTACTAACATTAGATATTTTAATGAGATATGGACCGCAAAACATTTCCCTGATTTTCATTTTTGAAATTAAGTCACCAAATGCAAGTAGTCGCCTTAGCTTATTTTGTTATGAGATGTGAATTACTGTTCAATTTAGTTGATGTAATAATCGTTTGGTTTCTTTTACATTAAAAAAAGGTCTTATGTTTTTTTTTGGGTGGAGGCCCTTTTTCCAGTTTAGAGCAATAGCCCCTCCAAATGTCTGTGCACGTCCCTGACACACACACACTCTTCCACCATGCCACTATAAGCATTAAAAGGTTAATTCAAGTCAGTTATTCAGGGATTAAATACTTACATTCTCACAAGGGAACAAAGCTGTTATAATCATAGAGGCAAATAAACTGTCTGGTCATTTTGACTACACTCAAAGTCATCATAAGAAGTCCTCAAAGCTTGCAGAGGTCTTAACCCCTGTCTGTTTATCGATCCAAAAGTAACAGGAATTAATGGATATCATTGGTTTTGTGTGGGATTAATACATCTGAAATGCCCTTTAGCTGCCATTTAACATATGCATTTACTCGTTTTTGGGAACCCCTGACACCCAGACTGCCAAACAAGACAGATGCAGTACTTCTGCTAAAAAGCCTTTTGCTTTACAAGTTGGAGAATGTATCGTCTTTGGCAGAAGATCTGTGTGCTTACTGCTTTACGTCTTTGTAAAATAGAGACTTTCTCTCACACTCTGCGACATCACATGGAATAGATTTGAGCTTCATCCGTTCCTTAAGGTCGTATTTAAGCAAACTACATTTCTTCAGTAATTGCCTGAGGATGTAACAAACGATCGAGTATGTTCCTGTTGGTTCAGCTCACTGTTTAAGGATTATAGAGGCAGAAAGGGAAAGATGGTCCCAAGGGAATTCATCTGTTTGCAATACGCTTGGCTCCCTGTCTAAAAGGGTGCTCATTTCCGAGAGAGTGTTTGTGTGTTTACTGTGTCTGCAGCAGCAGAGGACATTATAGCTGTCTCATGGCCCATTTCCCCTCCTCAGCCTGCTGCTCCCCCATGGCTCGGAGATGCATGCTGATATCTCCCTCACACACACTTTCTCTCTGCTCTGTCATCCCTCCGTCCTCCATCGACACACTTCTATCTCAGCGTGCCATCTCTTCCCGTCCCCTGGGACTCAATGTTTTCACCGTGTCTCTCATTGTTTCCCTCTTCCTCACCCCTGCCCTCCTCTTCGCCTTTTTAAACAGTATCCTTCACTCATCATTTTCTCTGCAATCATCTTTTAATCTGTCACTGCATCATGCGGGTAATAATAGCGAGATAATGGTGATGGCGGTGATTTGTCATATTAAGATGCTTTCTGTCGGCATTCCACAGGCACATTTAATGGCTGCAGACTTATAAGTGAGAGCCATTTTCACACAAGGACATCACCATTGACCTAGGATGTTTAGACAAATGTCAAATAGGGGTTAGTTGTACATCATCTGGGGGAGTTTTTACCCCCCTAATGTTATTTTGTTGTAAATACCATGCCACTGCGGGCTGCTGCAGACACCACACAGCTGCTTCTTTCAACACTCTGCATCCAGAAAACAAAATTAGGGCACAAATTGATGTGACTGGTGTGTGATGAGAAACCTTACAGACACACACAGATGCTCCTGCCTCTGCCAAACAAAATACAAACTTGTGTTATAGAGCCAGATGGTGTGTAAGATTTTTAATTTGTAATGCCGTTTCCCAACTAAAGTCAGCTAAGCCTCAGCTCAGTAGTTACCAAAGTTAAAAAATGTTATCTTGGTCCTCATCAAAGTGTATTTATTTTCACAAGAAATTAGCAAAGTTCAAGCATAAGTCTGAACAACTCAAAGCAATACTTCTTACTTCAACTACTTCCTGCTTTCTGTGCCATTTATAATGCTATTTCAGGAACCTCTGCCTTCGCTCGGGTCAGCTAAGGTCACACGAGGCTTCCAGTCCAAAGGGAAATTACATTAAAGTATCTGAATGTATACAAGGCAATTCATTATATGGGTATTGGTAGATCCGTAAAATTCTTTAAAATTCAACAGAAAAGTCTTGCTTGTTAGTTGTTGAAGTCTAAAATACTGTCTCTTGCATGTTGTCATTGGAGTATTTTTGCATCCAATTGCAGGCTTTAAGGAGCTGTTATAGATATATCTATAAACCTTTGAGTTTGTTACACTATGTGCTCGAGGACTCTGTTATATCCTTTTAATGGGAAGCTCATTGTTCTCAATGGAATTAATTACATTTCAATTGGTTAAGCAATCCATTTTCTGCCACTTATCGGTCCAGATGGCATTAATGAATGAATTAAATATTCAACACATTTATTAGAACATGTCATACAGTGCGTGGAACTAATAGAACATTTGTATATTTAATATTATTCTTGCCAGGGGCGGACTGGGACTAAAAATCAGCCGGGGAATCTCGACCGGCTCTCTTCAGTACCGCTAGTAAATTGTCAACGGGGGTGTGATTATCCGACCGGCTAGGGTTAGTTGAATGTTCCTTGTTGAACTCTGATAGGGATCTGGAGCCTCCCTGTGAGTCACGAGTCACCTGACTCCACATGCAAACAGGGGGAAAACAGCTCTTTTTTGCTTTTCTTCCTGGTTTATCTGTATGTTTCTGTCTGAGTTGATGCTAACTCTCCCCCCCCCCCCCCCCCCCTCAGGTGTACATGTACCAGCTGTTCCGCAGTCTGGCTTATATCCATTCCCAGGGCGTGTGTCACAGAGACATCAAACCCCAGAACCTGCTGGTGGACCCGGAGACGGCCATCCTCAAACTCTGTGACTTTGGCAGGTCAGTACCAGACTCTGCCTCTGGACATCAAGTCTGTCTCCCATCATCCTGTGCATTGTTGTGACCGTCTGTCTCTCTGTGTTTCTGTGTTTACTTAGCTGTCTGTTTGTGTAGCCATCTTATTTTTATATAAAATATATTTCAAGGTTCAAGGCTTTTATTAGTCATACGTACATAGCTACAGTGTAGTTATGACGATGGCAATCTTAGGTCCCAGGCTCCAACATTGATAGGTTAGATTGAACAGTTCAAAGCTACTATTCAATTCAATTCAAGCTTATTTATATAGCCCAAAATCACAAATCCTATTTGTCTCAGAGGGCAGCACAAGTCAACAAACACAATTGACAATGTAAAAACAACAAACGTATCTTATAAGATCAATGTGAAAATACCAATTTAAAAAGAAACATGACACAAATACATTTGGAGTACAATAAATAAAATTCCATAAAACGAAGGGTCCATGAGGATGTATAAAAGGGGGTTTAAAACCAGTCTTAACTGTACGCTGTACTAAAAAGGAAAGTCTTTAACCTACTCTTAAATGTGTGGGCACTGTCTGCCTCCCTGATCGTCACTGGAAGTTGATTCCAGAGGAACGGGGCTTGGTAGCCGAGAGCTCTAGCACTCTACTACACAGCTACTAGTGTTCAGCTTAGTCTCTACTATTGAACATCAATTAGCAAACCATATGTTACGGTTCCCAAAAGCTTGGGTACCACAGCAACAATAAAGGTATCTGTAGAAAACAGAAAAGTGCAGCAGCAAGAATTAGATACAGGATCCGGTTGATCGTCTGGATTGCTTCTTTATTTGCAAGATCAAACACTCAAGGTGTTTCAAATACAAGATGAGCTTCTCTGCTGAGGCCAGTGTCACATTCATTTTGAGGTTTAGTTTTAGTCTGTCACATAAAATCAGTTACGTCTTCATCCAGACATTTCAAACTGACAACCTAGCTCGACAAGAGATCCTTAAAACATTGTCCTACAGTGACATCATGCAAAACTGTGATATGAAGAAATTGGTAAAAAGGCTAAGATGGCAAAAAGATAAAGGCGAGCACGTATATTATTCTGGATTGTACATCATCACAAAATAAATGATGTGCTGAAGGTTTAAACATAGAACAAAGTATTTGAGCTTAAAATATGTCAAGTCCTAGTAAACGACCAACAATTGCTGAATCATACATTGGAACGTTGACCTTTAACAACATTTAAATGCAGTTTTCCAATTCACAATGACATCTGTAAGTGTAACTGTTGGGTTTATAAAGCATTCAATGAAAGGCCAAATTATCATAGGTGTAGGAGCTCACATAAATACACCAAAAAAAGACAAGGCGATGTGCCTGCAAGACTCCACTCAGGTGAACAAAACATATTACCTGTGCGCTGTAGGGATCGACCGATATGGCTTTTTCAAGGCCGATACCGATTATTAGTAATCAAGGAGACCGATAACTGATATTTGGAACCGATATACATTTGCAGTAAAATCAGAAAATCTTGGTGTCAAAATGTAGAATAACACAACTTCTTTGAAATGCCTTTTTATGTTTAGTGAACTTTTCAACATCTTAAAACTGGTTTACTCTCTGTGACCCTGAGTAAAGTAAATGAAGTTAAAATAAAAACTACTAAAACTTGTTCTGAACTGATATTTGAGTCTCACTCATTTAGTAGTCCCAATTCAGCAGATCGTGGTGCAGAAAGCAGAGTTGCTGCGAGGCTCCACTAGCAGCCGTCACAGTCCCAGCGCGTCCCAGTTTCTCCGCTGCGAGACGCTACCCCCCCCCCCCCCCCCCCCCCCCCCCCCCCCGGTCCCTTTGTAACTGGGAAACTGATAGAATTGGATCATAAGATCGTGGTGTTTTTTCAACTTCGGCATAGGGGATTGGGATGTTTATTGAACTTCGGCTTTCAACTGATTTACCTTCGAAACACCGCTCACTACTGCTGCTTGCATCGGTCTGTGTCGAGCCTTCGCTCAGGTCACATTTACACACGGCGCGGCTGAAGCCCGCGAAAACGGCATCTATAGTTGCCGACAGTTTAGTATTTTTAAAATACCGTTACTATGTCAAACATGCTCAAAACTTTCTGTCACACTCTCTTAAACATCTCTAACATTATATCTCATTTACACAAGTTAACATCGATCATTTTCATCATGTACTGATCTGTAGAAAACAGAAAAGTGCAGCAGCAAGAATTAGATACAGGATCCGGTTGATCGTCTGGGTTGCTTCTGAGGAGGGGGCGGAAGTGTACCCCCTAAGATAACCCAGGTGTCACCGCTCACCTGCCAAAGGTTCCACCTTGGCGCTACTTACTCTTACTGTTTCTCAAACAGTACAGATAAACCATAAAATGATATGAATGTCACCAAAATAAATACAGATAATGTTGAGCTTTTCAAAACAATAAATTCACTGTTTAGCAAAAATAAATAAAAGTAAATACACAAATAATTGTACCATTTTTGGGGTGTACCACACATACATAGAAGATCTTCACTTGAAGGCGTACAATGTTCAAACCACAATTATAACCAAAACAGACCATGTAGCCAAAATGTAAGAGAGTGTTGTACAGACTAACAGGACAAAACAAAAATAAATAAATAAATAAACAATACAAAGACAAAAAAATTATATATAATAAAGAGGAAATGGGGGGGTACCTTCTACTCACTGCTGAACATAGTAACTAACTTAGCACTAACCGGCAAATATATAAGCAAACTAATTAACCAACTGTCTAAATACTAGCTTATTTACTAGGTTACTAAACCAATTGTCTAAGAGACTAGCTACAAACTTTCTAACTAGCTATCTTGCTACTCGTAGCAACAGTCTAATATACTACCTAACATAACTACAAACCAAATGACATAAGGTATTAGCTATAAGCTTCTAACAGATATTAGCTAACAGCTACTAACTCACTGACTAACACAATAGCTTAACAATTACTTCCGACCAACTTCCTGACATTTTAGCGAACTTGCTACAATTAACTGTCCATCATACCGGCTAACCTAACATTACTTCTGGCTAACTGCCCAAGATATTGGCTAACCTAACCAACTTTCTAACATAGCTAACTGTCTATGTATTTCTAACCTAACATTAATACAAACCAACTGCCTCACATTGGTTACTAGCTAAATTACTACTAACCCACTGTCTAATACAGTGTTTCTCAAACTTTTTCATACCAAGGACCACTTAACCAATAAAAAAATACTCGCGGACCACCTAACTCCACAAATATCCAAAAACATATTGTTTTTTACAAACCGCCTGAAAATGGTACAAACAAGTGGCCACATGTGTGATGAAGGTGTTGTGCTGGGCTATATCATGCAATCGAAGGTGAAACTTAAGCTCGCTCCATTGCGGAGATATTCCCGCGAGAGTGCGGAAAACTTTAATTAATTAATTAATTTCAAATGTGAAATTGTACCAATATACTCACGGACCACTAGGGGGCGCTCACAGACCACCAGTGGTCCGCGGACCACACTTTGAGAAGCACTGGTCTAATACAAGAGCCAACTTTAAAATATTGCTAACCAACTGCCTAACATACCTTAACTACTAAGACACTGCGTAATATAGACAACTAGCTAACTTGCTATTGTCTAACAGAGTATCTAACTCAACATTACTACTAACAGATCTGCCTTACAAGCTTTGAGCTAACTGGATACTAAACAACTACCTAACAGTGTCCATTAATCAGTAGACACTAGGGGTGTAACGGTACACGTACCCGTACCGAAATTATTCGGTACGGGCCCTTCGGTTCGGTACAGGTGTGTACCGAAGTGTACCGAACGAATATAACGTTAAACGTACAAAATTGAGAACGTGAACAACTTGTTGGAAGTAATCTCAGGTGCTGCGTCGCAGCATTCAGAGTAATTTGCTCACATTGGGTTCAACGCGTCAGAGAGCGAGCAAGTCATTTCATTGGATGAGAGGCATACTATGAGAGCTGGTCACAGGGATGCGTTCAAATGTAGTCAGTAATTTGAGGAACTGTCGAAAATTAATGGCGAACGCAGATAAAGTTGAGCTCGAAAATCCTCCAGCATCATTGAAGTCTCCGGTTTTTGGTTTCGCAGTTACGAACAAGGATGAAGGACAAAGACAGGTGGACCGAACCAAAGCTGTTTGTCGGCATTGTTCAACTAACATTGGTTACGCGGCTGGCAATACATCAAACTTGCACACTCTTGAAAAGGCATCACCCGAACGTGAATATCACCGGTACCAAAAGAAAAAAGACTGAAGTGCAAACCCAACTCCCGCTAGCATGTAAGCCTCCACCACTCGCAGAGAGTTCAGACCGAGCCAAAGCTATTACAAACGCCAAATATCCTTATGTTGCCTCGTTAGCAAAGCGCTACCTGGCTGTATCTGCTACCTCTGTCCCTAGAGAGAGGGTTTTCTCCACAGCAGGAGACATTGGTAGTGCCAGCAGATCTGACCTTTCGACAAGTTAATTTTTCTTTAAAAAAACATGAAAATACAATGACAAGCAAGTCATAATGTCAAGCTGGCTGCTTAGGTGCTAGTACAGTACAGTTCAAATACAGATTATTTCAGTTCATCGAAAGCTGCACCTTAATGTTTATTTTATTATATTTTGTATTTATTTGAGTGAATATTCACAGTTTAATAATAATTAAAAACCCAAAACTAATAGTTTATGTTTTGTGAGTACTAGTAGCCTACAGTAAAGTTCAAATACAGATTATTTCAGTTCATCGAAATGCTGCACCTTAATGTTTATTTTATTATATTTTGTATTTATTTGAGTGAATACATTATTCACAGTTTAATAATAATACAAAAAAAATATATATATATGTTTTGTTTTGTGAAAAAAAATTCTGCTGTACCGAAAACGTACCGAACCGAACCGTGACCAAAAAACCGAGGTACGTACCGAACCGAAATGTTTGTGAACCGTTACACCCCTAGTAGACACAAATAAGAGGGAATTGAAGAAGGGTTTTGTGTAGCCATCTTTTTCTGAATTTCTGTCGATCTGTCATGTCCTTTTTACCTCTCTGTCTTCGTTTGACATGCTGTGGTTTTGTGAAAACAAATTAAGGAAATGAAGGTTCAGGCCGAGGTGACATGGTCATATCAGACTAGATATCATCTCTTATTTTGAATACTGTGATATTCTAGCTGTTTCTTTTCCTGGTTCTAAAAGCTGCATTACAGTAAAAGGATATCATTTTCTGAATTGACCAGCCGTGTAGCTTTTACGTACATTTCCATTTCATTTAGCTGATGCTTTTATCCAAAGTGACTTACAATAAGTGTATTCAACCATGACCACGATACAAGCTCAACGCAGCAAGAGTCCTGCAAGTACATTATCTTTAAATAAGCCAAACTGTCTCCCTGAGACGGCGGGACTGTGGTGTGTGTGTGTGTGTGTGTGTGTGTGGGTGTGTGTGTGTGTGTGTGTGTGTGTGTGTGTGTGTGTGTGTGTGTGTGTGTGTGTGTGTGTGTGTGTGTGTGTGTGTGTGTGTGTGTGTGTGTGTGTGTGTGTGTGTGTGTGTGGTGTGTGTGTGTGGGGTAGTGTGTGTGTGTGTGTGTGTGTGTGGTGTGTGTGTGTGGGTGTGGTGTGTGTGTGTGTGTGTGTGTGTGGTGTGTGTGTGTGTGTGGACCTCAACAATGGAATTATGATCAGTAGAAATGGCCATGACATGGGACCTTTAACTTGTATTTTTAGAGTGTTGTATTAGTAATTTTACTTAATAAAAATCTCTTAATACTTCTTCCTGCTTTAGTTTTAAGTTACTTTACTATATAAGATTTAAAATATGAGATTGAAGTGTATATAAACAAACCTTGTAAAGACGGTGTATACGAGAACAGCTTTGTCAATTAGCCAATTATATCAAAATTCATTAGCATCTACAAACAAACTGATTTTTAGTTTTTGTTAATATTTCGTGGGTACTTGTGTTTTACTTCAGTAACATTTCCAATCCAGCACTTAATTGTTGCATTAGTCAAAGTCAACTTTATTGTCAATCTTTCAGTTTGTGTGTACAGACAGAGGGATCGAAATACCGTTTCCCACAATCCTGAATACAAATATGTATATCCTATATATATACACACTCAACAGAAACATTTACACATATGCCCACATTAAGATAAAAACACAATAATCAATATATATATATACAGTGGGGCAAAAAAGTATTTAGTCAGCCACCAATTGTGCAAGTTCTCCCACTTAAAAAGATGAGAGGCCTGTAATGTTCATCCTTGGTACACTTCAACTATGAGAGACAGAATGGGGGGAAAGAATCCAGGAAATCACATTGTAGGATTTTTAATGAATTAATTGGTCAATTCCTCGGTAAAATAAGTATTTGGTCACCTACAAACAAACAAGATTTCTGGCTCTCACAGACCTGTAACTTCCTTCTTTAAGAGCCTCCGCTGTCCTCCACTCGTTAACTGTATTAATGGCACCTGTTTGAACCCGTTATCAGTATAAAAGACACCTGTCCACAACCTTAAACAGTCACACTCCAAACTCCACTATGGCCAAGACCAAAGAGCTGTCAAAGGACACCAGAAACAAAATTGTAGACCTGCACCAGGCTGGGAAGACTGAATCTGCAATAGGTAAGCAGCTTGGTGTGAAGAAATCTACTGTGGGAGCAATTATTAGAAAATGGAAGACATACAAGACCACTGATAATCTCCCTCGATCTGGGGCTCCACGCAAGATCAAGGTGAGCACAAATCCCAGAACCACACGGGGGGACCTAGTCAATGACCTGCAGAGAGCTGGGACCAAAGTAACAAAGGCTACCATCAGTAACACACTACAGCCAGCCAGGGACTCAAATCCTGCAGTGCCAGACGTGTCCCCCTGCTTAAGCCAGTACATGTCCAGGCCCGTCTGAAGTTTGCTAGAGAGCATTTAGATGATCCAGAAGAGGATTGGGAGAATGTCTTATGGTCAGATGAAACCAAAATAGAACGTTTTGGTAAAAACTCAACTAGACGTGTTTGGAGGAGAAAGAATGCTGAGTAGCATCCAAAGAACACCATACCTACTGTGAAACATGGGGGTGGAAACATCATGCTTTGGGGCTGTGTTTCTGCAAAGGGACCAGGACGACTGATCCGTGTAAAGGAAATAATGAATGGGGCCATGTATCGTGAGATTTTGAGTGACAACCTCCTTCCATCAGCAAGGGCATTGAAGATGAAACGTGGCTGGGTCTTTCAGCATGACAATGATCCCAAACACACCGCCCGGGCAACGAAGGAGTGGCTTCGTAAGAAGCATTTCAAGGTCCTAGAGTGGCCTAGCCAGTCTCCAGATCTCAACCACATAGAAAATCTTTGGAGGGAGTTGAAAGTCTGTGTTGCCCAGCGACAGCCCCAAAACATCACTGCTCTAGAGGAGATCTGCATGGAGGAATGGGCCAAAATACCAGCAACAGTGTGTGAAAACCTTGTGAAGACTTACAGAAAAAGTTTGACCTCTGTCATTGCCAACAAAGGGTATATAACAAAGTATTGAGATGAACTTTTGTTATTGACCAAATACTTATTTTCCACCATAATTTGCAAATAAATTCTTTAAAAATCAGACAATGTGATTTTCTGGATTTTTTTCTTTCTCTTTCTCATTTTGTCTCTCATAGTTGAGGTATACCTAGGATGAAAATTACATGCCTCTCATCTTTTTAAGTGGGAGAACTTGCACAATTGGTGGCTGACTAAATAATTTTGCCCCACTGTATATATATATATATATATATATATATATATATATATATATATATACACAATATCTTTGGGAATGTACATTAGTGCAAGATTGTCCATAGCAGCGTAAAAAAGTATTATTAGAACTAATGCACAACTTTTACAGTGTTGTATTAGTACTTTTACATATTACAAATCTCTTAATACTTCTTCCACCACTAACTATATATATATCTCTTATCTCTTGTAGTGCGAAGCAGCTAGTGCGGGGGGAGCCGAATGTTTCCTATATCTGCTCGCGGTACTATCGCGCCCCGGAGCTCATCTTTGGAGCCACCGACTACACGTCCAACATTGACATCTGGTCGGCCGGCTGCGTGCTGGCCGAGCTGCTGCTGGGCCAGCCCATCTTCCCCGGGGACAGCGGGGTGGACCAGCTCGTAGAGATCATTAAGGTAAAGAGAGGAAGGCTACAGACACTGGCACAGTGCCAACTGATGCACGGGGCAAGATGAAAGGAGACATGGAGGAAAGTTTGAAATTCAAACTACTGTCAGTGTTGGCTTTGGGGAGGAAACTGTTGGAAATGTGGTTTTTAAAAATAGACTATACTTAGCTATTCAACCTGGTAGATTACTAATTTTCATTTGGTTAACAATCCATTTTAGTTTTGCTTATCTTTGTCCAGATTGCATTTATTAATTATACATTTTATTTGGTCTTATGTACTGCTTAGAAGTAGCTGAAGAGATGTCACCTAATAGTTGCCAAAATAAACAACTTCTATCAATACTATAGAAAATGTGAAAAATATATTAACCCAGTGAAATGTTTACTTAGTTTTTTGTGGGTTTGTTTATTTGGGTTAAATTGGAGCGCTGCGTAATCAAAATCCAATCTGACTAAATAAAGTATTTTGTGATTCTGATAGTAAAACATTACTCCCCGGTCGATGAATGTGTACTTATATTTCAACACAGATAGTATTCAATAAAGAACAGTAGCCCTGGAAAGATAATGCAAGCTTTACACTTAATATAACAAAGGATACATTTTGTTACGCTCCACATTTAAAACCCCTTCTCCACATTTTGAAGGACACGCCAACGATTGTAATTCATATGAATGAACATACATTTTTCCTTCGTGTGCTTCAGGTGCTTGGGACACCAACGAGGGAGCAGATCCGGGAGATGAACCCCAACTACACAGAGTTCAAATTCCCTCAGATCAAAGCACACCCCTGGACAAAGGTACGTCCCAGCTGCAGCAGAATATTAATGGATAGCCGTTATCCAAACATCAGCTTGAAGTTGTTTTTGCTCTTTATGGAAAAATAAACGTATGTAGGAACCATACAAAACCAGGAACTTGTTGCTATCTACATATTAGGGATGGGAATTTGAAAGCAAATGTATATTCGAATATTCGACCCCCCAAAAAACGGTTAACCGAAATGTACATATCCTATAAATAAATAAATAAAAATAAAAACATTTTTTTCAATAGCTTTTGGAAATAAATAAATGTTCAAATAAGTATAGAAACCAAGTCGAGTGGAGTACTCCGTGACCACAGAGTGTGAACGTTGTGATCAGCTGTTTTAGCGCAGTTCTCCAGTGAAGGGGGGGGAGTCTCCCTCCGCAGCCGGTTGGCGTAGTTTTGGCACAATTCCGTTGTACAGACCGACGTTAACAGCAGTCCTGTCTGTGCACACGGAGACCGACTCTGTCGTCCGGTGATCTAACCGCCTTCTGGAAAAGCTTCACAAGTACGTCGTTACGCAAATGCGCTTTGTGACACAAGAGACGGTACGCATTTCAGATTGTTGCCGCGCATGCGTACCTGCATACCAGTTATGTGCACCCCTGGCTATAGGCCTACAGCTTTCATGTGCGGAGGCGATTCACAATCAGGCCAGCTGTAGAGAAGACCCTCTCAGCTGGAACGGAGGTTGCGGGTATAGCAAGGTATAGCATGTATATAAGTTTAATTTGGCATAGTCTGACCTCTACACCGCACTCACTAACCTGGTCGAAATATTTCCACACATTACTCCTTTTTGACGCCATGTCTGTTGTGTAGGATTCTTCTTAGAGTGTAAATAATTACCGGACTATGACTGCTAAAATATGTTGAATACCGGCAAAACGAAATCTCCTTTCAAAATGTCTATGTACTTTGCCGCCACACACGGTTGCCAAGCAGCGCTTATTGTTGTTTAGGTTGGCCACTCTTGTGTTGACATGGGGCAGGGGAGCACGCTCATGAACTGTTAGCGCCGGGGGCCTCGCAACGGCTGCGGAGCCCATTTGCGCCGCATGTGGGCCTAAGATGAGGTTTGAGTCTGCGTGATCTGCGTGTAGGGAGGGGCAGATTTGGACATAAACGCGAGTGAAGTATAACCGGACACGAGAGAGAGAGATCAGCACCTGCAGCTCTGCCCGCTGTGAGGGACCGGTGAGCGGAGCAAAACACACCTTTAGACGTCAACTAACACATTTAGCTATGGCACTGTCGTATACATTGAATTATTCAATTTGATAATATGTAATCAACTTAGGCATCACTCCCAAAAAGACAAAAAAAAAGAATTAATCAAAATATTAATAACTCATATTCGAATACCTGAATCATTTTGAATATTCAATTAATCGTTCCCATCCCTACTACATACTACTACATACTGATGCTGCTCCCCAGTATGTTTTATTTGCAGTGCTGCACTATGACTGTAAATAAAGTAAGTTTTTGCCTAATAGTAACAATAAATAGTACCTTACCCCAGATCAGATTTGTAGCCGATGTCGTGTATCTGTTCTTTCTGAAGACGTGTGTTTATTCAGGGAACTCGGATACATTAAAATCAGTTGCTGAAAGAAAGTTAAACAATCGATTCTGTGGCAAAGAGCTGGGCTTGGAGAATATCTAATCTAATGATATTTTCGAACAAATGTCAATATATCTTATTTATATTGCACTTCACAAAAAGAAACACAAATTGCTTCCAAGACCAACAACAATATTAACCTCCCCTCCTGATCCATAATCACAGCAACCTTTGTGATTAATACAGAACATCACAAGTCCATAAACACAGAACAGAATCAAACGATAGTAAAAACATTCAACATTATTAAAGGTTTAGGTCTTAAATGGCTCTTAAAAGTATGTTAAATGATCGCCCAGTCCTACAACGATCTGTGTCAACAGCAGAAGTCCTCCTCCCCTTGCCGCTGTCCTTAATGCAGGGTCTTAAAAAGTATTAAAAGTTGATCGATCAATTTAGCGATAATGAAGGCTATTAAAAATGCGATGAGGTCTTAAAATGTATGGAAAGGGTCTTAAAAAAGGTATTAAAAGGTTTTACATTTGACTTGAGGATTCCTGCATATACCCCGTGATTTCTTTCATGTTTGTAAAGCACTTTGAATTGTCTTGTGTTGAAAGGTGCCTTATAAATAAACTTGCCTTGAATCTAAATAACCCGTGTCTCTCTGACTCTCTCTCCCCTGTCAGGTGTTTAAGCCTCGCACGCCCCCCGAGGCCATCGCTCTGTGCTCCCGGCTGCTGGAGTACACGCCGGTGACCCGGCTGTCTCCGCTGGAGGCGTGTTCGCACGCCTTCTTCGACGAGCTCCGTCAGCCCAACACCCGCCTGCCCAGCGGGCGAGAACTGCCGCTCCTCTTCAACTTCAGTCCCGTCGGTCAGTTCACCTCCTCTCCTCTCATCTCTTCCTCTCCTCATCTCCTCATCTCCTCTCCCACCCCTCCCACGTCACTCATCTCCTCCCCTCCTCTCATCTCCTCCTCCTCTCCTCCCCTCTCCCACGTCCCTCTCCTCATCTCCTCTCCTCCTCATCTCCTCTCCTCCTCATTTCATCTCCTCCTCTCTTCTCATCTCCTCTCCTCCTCATTTCATCTCATCTCCTTTCCTCTCTCACCCCTCCCACGTCACTCTCCTCATCTCCTCTCCTCATCTCATCTCCTCCTGTCCTCCTAATCTCCTCTCCTCTCCCACGTCCCTCTCCTCATCTCCTCCTCCTCCTCCTCTCCTCTCATCTCATCTCCTTGTCTCCTCTCCTCTCCCCCCTCCCATGTCACTCTCATCTCCTCTCCTCCTCCTCATCTCCTCTCCTCCTCCTCATCTCCTCTCCTCTCCTCCTCCTCATCTCCTCTCCTCTCCTCCTCCTCATCTCTCCTCCTCATCTCTCCTCCTCCTCATCTCCTCCTCCTCATCTCCTCTCATCTCCTCTCCTCCTCCTCATCTCTCCTCCTTATCTCTCCTCCTTTCCTCCTCCTCATCTCTCCTCCTCATCTCTTCTCCTCTCATCTCCTCTCACCCCCCTCCCACGTCACTCATCTCCTCTCCTCCTCCTCATCTCTCCTCCTCATCTCTCCTCATCTCATCTTCTCTCCTCATCTCATCTCTCCTCTTCTCCTCTCATCTCCTCTCCCCCCCTCCCACGTCACTCTCCTCTCCTCTCCTCATCTCATCTCCTCATCTCATCTCCTCGTCTCCTCTCCTCTCCCACCCCTCCCACGTCACTCTCCTCTCCTCTCCTCTCCTCTCCTCTCCCACGACACTCTGCTTCTGTTTCAGCTCCTCTGAGTGTCTTGGATGTTGTCCTAAAGGGCTGCAGAATTAATTGGAATCTAATTCAAATTGCAGTAACGATTATTGCACTATTCAAATCGCAGGAAGCATAAGATAATATATTATTCATCCCAGAGTTACAAAAATACAATAAACACAGCAGCACAATAATAATAAACCTGTACGCTAACAGTGCAATAAAAATAGCAATTCAATAACTTCAGGAAACATCGATGGTCACATCTTTAATCTAAATAACAGTTACATTAAAATAATATTTGGTAAATGTGTTCAAATGGAGTAAATGATCATGGATTTGCCGGGATGTTCGGCTTACCTAACAGACATTTATTTGGTTACGATCTGTCCTTAAAACAAATCACACAATGATCGTTTTAATATAGTCTCCCTTGCCGATGCACTATCAGTCAAAGTAGTCGTAATTTGTCGTTTCTTTCCCAAATCATGCAGCCCTGTTGTCCTCTAAAGACCTTCACTCAATCTAAAGACCTTCACTCAGTGTCTCACTGCACCCAAAGTGTTTTCTGTGTCATTAAAGCTGCCTCTCTCTCTCTCCTCAGAGCTGTCTATCCAGCCCCAGCTGAACTCCACACTCATTCCTCCTCACGCTCGTGCACAGACATCGCCTGCCTCACATGGTATGTATCTCAATTCAATATTACACTCTTAGGTGTTATCTTTTTCAGTGACGGATCCATCTATGCCAGGGCTGTCAAACTCAAATACACAGTGGGCCAACATTTTAAAATGGGTACTAGTGGAGGGCCGGACTGGTTCAATGTTTATTGCAAAACTTATTGAAATGAACTTATTGCACATATTAAACCTGGAACTAACAAAGCTTAAATGATAAAAACAACATTAAATAATCAGTTGCATTCATTTCTTATGGCTCTATCTGCATTCTGATTACATTTTTCCACAGGCCAACAACAGCTTCAACAAACAATTCCCCTCAAAGAACAAACCAAACATGCCCTGTTGTCTCAAGAGAAAAAGTGCAGAAGGAAACATCCATTAAACTCAGTGTGCTGCTCTTTGAAGCTAGTTCAAGCAGATACTTGGCATCTCATCTTGGGGGCAAGTTCATCAATGTTTGGGCTCAGGCTCTGAGCTGAGGAGACCCTCAGGATGGAGTGAAGGTGTGCGTGCAATATACCGGCGGGCCAGATCTAATAGTAATTAGAAATTACCCTGCGGGCCGAAATTAAATCCACCAAGGACCGGATTTGGCCCCCGGGCCTTGAGTTTGACACATGTGACCTATACAGTTATTCATCTGTATATTGTCCATTAAGCACATTGATACTGCAAAAATAATTATAAGTAGGGCTGGGTGATAAGTGATAAGACATTTTGTATATTGTAATATCCAATGTGTCTTTTCTTTCTGTTATTTAAAACTGGACTGCATTACAGTTAAATAATGTGATTTTATTGGTATAAACAGTAATATAGAAATGAACACTCTGAAAACACTACAGACAGTTATTGAAACTTATATGATCAAATATGAGTTATAAATATTGTGATATGTAATTGTCTCCCAGCCCCATTTACAAGTAACCCTTTGTTCAATTTGAAAACTATAGTAACTAGTGTGAGAATCAAAATATTGGCCCACATTCATGGACTATAAAATCCTCCGGAAAAACTGCTTAACCGCCGTCTGAACTTCAGCCCATTTATAAACCCGACTGAGTAGGCGTTGCTACTTTAATGAAGATAACCTGAAATACTTTTTAGATTTTTAGACGTACATAATGTCATGATAGGCAGTAAAGTATCCTATATGAACGGTGTGTTGTGTTTCTGACCCTGCTGTCCCTCTCTCCCCCTGCAGAGGGCGGTGTGTCAGACAGTACCGCCCAGCCCAGCTCAGCACCCGGATCCATCAACAACAGCACCTGAGCACCACCCCTCTGCCATCCTTTTATTTTCGTCTTCCCCCCCCCATCTTCCCTTTTCTCTCCTCTGCTCTTCTTCCTCTCCACCTTCCTCCTGGCTCCAAAACCCCTCTTTAAAAATAGAAATAACTTCACACACACTCAGCAGTGCTATTGTCCCTGACTCTTTAACCATTTCCAATAGAAAGCAATCTCTGTGGCTGCTAGCTTCTGGAAGGTGTGGGCTTGTTTTAAGGATATTTGGGGAGCCAAGCGTGGGTTTAAAATAAGCTGCCGTTCATCTGGCCTGTTAGAATAAATCAACTCGACATTGGTAGGGTTTATTGGCATAAAAAGGAGGGGGGGTTGTACATGTTATGTGGATTTTCTCTGTATTATAACTGACTTTTATCCCTTTTATGTTCATTTTTATTTGCATTGGTGTATTTTATGTGTGGCCGTGGTGCCATTAAATGGGGTCCTGATTGGCTTTTGAGTTGAAAGGTCGTGTGAGAGGCCTGACTAATAATGACAATCATCTTTAGTGGGGTCACGCATGTAGTGTACACACTTGATTATAAGACCCACTGTGTAGACTGGAAGCTTTTAGGCCTCTTTCTACCATCAATTTACTCAAGTATTGTCAGTTCATCCAGCGGCACGGTGACCACGTGAAGTTTTTTTTTTTAATCTTCAACTTTGACCCCAGAATATATTGGCTGATTTTAGAGTTGGTTTTACATTTTATTCAAAAAGAAATGCACCACAGCCTGTCTTTTATAAAAGTTTCCTTTTGAATATTAGCTCCTCGACTGCCTTTTATGTGAATGAGAGGGAGCAGAGTGCACAGTTTCTTCGCGATAAGCTTATGTTTTCATCGATTAAGCTACACGCTTCTCTTATTGCATCCAAAAGGGAGTAGAGCGGAAGCAAAGGGGTGAGTTATGTTAGTCCAGCTGTTATCATAACGTCACACACAGGTTGGATGTGGGGTTCCAGTTGCATCTAATACAGAAGCCTCACATGTCATAAACACCACCTCGTTAATTATGTCACTTTGTGGTTTCTTATGGGCTTGATTATGTTGATCAGGCTCAGAGAGAGACTCCGGACACCTTCACCTGGCTCGTCATCGTCATTTCACACAGTTGTTTCGTGCAGGAGGAGGACTGAATTTAGTTTGTGAGAGCGACTGGCTGAAAACCCTCTTCCCAAACAGTGCAACGCTTCTATCATGTTCTTCTCGTCCCTCTGTGGTGTTAGTCGGAACTGATGGTGAATGTGCAGCCTACCGTCGGCAGTTGTCTTTCAGACGTGCATGTTCAGCCCACACTATATTGCTTCCACTAATCTCAGTAATAATCCGACCAGAAACGATGCTCAAACCCTGAAACCCGGCGTCTTTTTGGAGCCTCCCCTTCCTCCTCCTCCCCTTCCTCCTCCTCCTCCTCCTCCTCCTCCTCCTCCTCCCCTCTTTCCTCCTCCTTTTTTCACTGCTAAACTGTAAATATCAAGTACCTTTTATTTTGTTATTTTTATTGTTATTATATTGTTGTTCTTGTAATTTTTTTTCTCTAGTAGACCGGCGCAGCAGCGTCCGGACTGTTTATCCTCAGTCGCAGTCTGTAAATACGATTTCATTTCAGTCCCTGGTTCAGGAGGGGAAACACAGAACAAAATGTTTCATTTTTACTCTCTCTCCTTCCATTTCTCTATTCACCACTTTCCCTTTTCCCCCTATAAATGTTGTCATAACTGTTTTATTTATTGTATTGTGTTATTTTTTTTGGGCGGGGTGGGAGATTCGTTTCCACTGCGGTGGTACAATTGAGGTTTTTTGTTTTTTTTTATTCCAAATTTGAGTCCAACTATGTCACATGCAAAACGATTTCACATCCAAGATACTGTACAGAGATCCGGACGTTGGTGTGTGTGCGCTTTCCAATCAGTGCTGTTGTGTGTATGCACATAAGAGCCAACACGTGGAACTCCAGTTTTTTCATTTAACTTCAATGTGAAGGGAATGTTACAAGCCTCTGGATCTACAGGGTCGTGGTGTTGAGGGAGCACGGTTAACCCTGTGTGAGTGAGTGTGTGTGAGTGTGTGTGTGTGTGTGTGTGAGTGTGTGTCTGGAGGAAAGGGGGAAATAATGAATTTGTCCATTGACATGTATCATCTCCTGTGTCCGACCGTCTCCTGTTTCACTTACTGTGTTTAGTATGAGTGTACAGGTGTTAGGATGTGTGTATGCTTCACAGATACTTTGTGAGTTTCTGCAGGGAATGTGTGTGTGTGTGCGTGTGCGCTGGCAGACCATTGACATTATTCTCAGTACTCCTGACTTTTTTCCTAAAAATGAAGAGCTCATAAAATGTGCTATTTTAATGTTTTTTTTCTTCCATCTTCTGATCTGTCACACTTTGTTTTTAATTTGCTGTGGCCCTGCTCTTTTATCTCTCGTCTGAGGGTAAATGTCAAAGTTGGTAAACGGAACGGTTGGATAAAGGAGATGATGAAAAGAGAGGGATGGAGGGAGAGAGACAGTTTTTGTTTGTTGGTATAAATAATTAAACTCATTAATAAAGTGATGAAACAGTTCCTGTCTCACATTCGTTATTCAATTATATATATATTTTTTAAAAACTGTTAAAGGTGGGGTTGGTAAGTTTGAGAAACCGGCTCGAGATATGCTTTTTGTTATATTCCATGAAATGCTCTTAACATCCCGATAGCAATGAATATATTAAATGCTTTGACAATAAATACATAAACAAAAGGTCATCAGTGGAAGCCGTGGCGCTGTAAAAAGCACGACCAATCATCCGAGCCGGCCCGGCTAAAGTAACTGGATGGCCTACCTGCCTGTCAGCCTTCCATCTATGCACAAACTTATCTCGTGCCCTCATTGGTCATGTGCGCGTTCGTGTGTTGGAGGAGGGGCTCTGTAAGGAAGTCTGAAGGAAGGGGCAGATTTTTCTTCGGCTGCGTTGTTTCAAATTCTAGCTTTCCATTCTTACCTATCCTACCTTTTTAAGTATGGATTTTCCCACTTCTCCCTGTTTTTATATCTTGTTAAACTAAAAGTATATATTTGTGTAAACATCCCTGTTTTCTGATATTTCTTAGACCAAAATGTGAATCTAGGCAAGGCAAGTTTATTTATATAGCACTTTTCAGCACGCGACAATTCAAAGTGCTTTACAAAACAAATTAAAAGACTTTTTTGGAATAAATACAGTAAAAACACATTATATAATGGCATTTTACAACAGGCATTAACAAGCAAAGATAATAAAATAAACACAACAGGTATAGCCTACAATAGGCCTACATGTTGAAATGGTATACTGTAGTGCGAATATGAGCAGCTCAATTAAAAGCAGCGGCAAAGAGATATGTTTTCAGTCTCGATTTAAAAATAGTAAGAGTTTCTGCGGACGTGCATGATACGGGTAGTTTGTTCCAGAGTGTCGGGGCATAATAGCTAAACGCTGCGCCTCCATGTTTTGTTTTTACTCTCGGAACCGATAGCAGCCCCGTCCCAGAAGACCTGAGGCACCTTGATGGTTCGTAATTATGTAGGAGATCAACAATATACTTTGGTCCTAAACCATGTAATGATTTAAAAACTAGCAATAGTACTTTAAAATCAATTATTTGACCGACTGGAAGACAATGTAAAAGATAATCTGCATTAATGGTAATCGTTAGCCGCAGCGCTAGTACAGATACACCGATATGGGATTGCAGGGTTTATAATTGTAATTTATACAATACAATTACCAGTATTACTCAATCAATTTAAAAAAAAAGTACTAAGGAGTATTTAGGCCTTGAGGTGTTTTGTGTTATTATGGCTGAACTCAGATGAAGGTAGTTGCATCTCCGTGTGATGAGGGTTCAAATAAATGTTGTTGTTCATCTCAGGTGCTGAACTTCGGCTGAACCAATAAGGAATATTTGTCATTCTCATAGAAGAAGTTCTGTTTTTCTTTTGTGCTTTTCTCTTAGTTTTCTCCTACAGATGTTGATAGCTAAATGAAAACTTGAGTATGAGTCACAGTATTTTGTCTTCAGCTTTGTATGAAACCTTTCATCATGCAAGGATTAATTAAATTACGCTGGGAAGTGGAATCAGGGGTGGGGGGGTCAGCAAGCCTCTGAAGGGACCAGTTTCACAGCGAGGAAATCCAAACTGTTGTTATGGGAACCATGCTATTGCTAAATGTCAGTGAAAGTCTTTTTGACCTTGACTGATGAAATCCTGCACTTCCAGTTTGATTATATCAAAGTGAAGCTGGTTCACAGACAATGAACGTGCTGCTGTTCGTACGGTAGGCTGGTGTATTTATATATTTTAACCCTCAGATACTTAAACTGTGTTAAAGAGGCTCTGATGGGCTCAGTTTTAGAGCTACAGTGGAGATAGGCAAATTAAATGCACTTTAAAATGTGTCATTTGGCACCATAACAAAAACGAAATATTTCTGATAGATTTTTGACTTTCAACAAAGTGTTTTGTTGCATCTCAATGAAATCCTCAGGTTTCAAGTTTCATCTATCTATCATCCATCTATCTATCCATCATCTATCTATCCATCATCTATATATCCATCTATCTATCCATCATCTATCCATCCATCTATCTATATATCCATCTATCTATCCATCATCTATTCCATCATCTATATATCCATCCATATATCTATCCATCCATCTATCTATCCATCTATCTATATCATCCATCTATCTATCCATCATCTATTCCATCATCTATATATCCATCCATATATCTATCCATCCATCTATCTATCCATCTATCTATATCATCCATCTATCTATCCATCATCTATTCCATCATCTATCCATCCATCTATCCATCATCCATCTATATATCCATCTATCTATCTATCTATCTATCTATCTATCTATCTATCTATCCATCATCCATCCATCTATCTATCTATCTATCTATCTATCTATCTATCTATCTATCTATCCATCTATCTATCTATATATCCATCTATCTATCTATCTATCTATCTATCTATCTATCTATCTATCTATCTATCTATCTATCTATCCATCTATCTATCTATCTAACCAAGTATAAGATATGAATAGTTATTTGGTTTAAAAAGCAAATCAAAGAAACCTGTATCACATCTATCTCTAATTTGTCATACAGACCACAATCTGTTATTCCCTCCTGTAAAAGAAGAGCAGGATGTAATGAAGTCTCCAGACGTCTGTGAACTTTCACGTCTTTCGTCTGTTTCCTAGTTTTAAATAAAAAATCTTCAAAGACTCAGGCAGAACCTTTGTAGTCCGGTGCTGGACGAACATTTCTGGTTTCCTTTGAGCCGGCCCCTCGAGTTCAGCTCTGATGAATTCATAAGTTTGTCTTTGTACAACCTGGACCTGTCCTTGGCTTGCATTCATAAAAAATGAATAGCCATTTTTCAGTGTGTGATCATTTCTGAAGAAAGTTTTCAGTTCACAAAATGTTTATTGAAGTGTAAATGTCAATAAACGCTATATGGTAACGCTAATGTGGGAAAACTAACCTGAGTCATTATCAATCTTTAAAGATAACAAGACTGTTATTCCAAGGAAGTTATAAAAAAAGTTCCTGTGGTCCTACAACAAAATCCTAAGTGGAAGAATATATTGTTATTACGTTTTTATTTTATAGAAGGGGAAAAAAAGCAATGACGACTATCTTTGTTTTAGTTTTTTACATATGAGTGATAATATTTTAAAGGAGTATTTCCAGCTCGAAAAACTATCATTTGAACTCACAAAATAAGTGGTAAACGTATTTATCTTTCCATTACTTACATTGTTTGGTATAACGACGCAAAAATGTACCCCCAATACACATTTTTCAATTTCTAAAAAGATATTTATACATCTATCCCTAACTGATACAGCTTTGTAATTATTATCATTCACCAGTTCAAGAGGAAATACAGAGAAATTATTTTCTCGAGGTACAGGGATGGGGAAGGTGTTTGACTATTTGTATGTGTGTGAGTATATAGGTGTGTATATATGTACATATGTGTATATGTATATATGTCCATCAACAGGTAAAGCAGATTAATAATAATAATAACAATAATAATTAATAATAATGATAATTATTGCAGATTATAGATTATAAATAAATCATTTAGGGACAAGGAGGTGAGATTAAATAAATTATACTTCTTCTCACTCCTTTTCGAACACTAGATGTGGCACTGTTTATGTTGCTAATGCTGTTGTTGTCACTGCAACATTTGTTTTGTTTTTGTCATTTTTTATTTTACTTGTTCGAAATAAAATGTATCAATCAATCAATCGAACCTTTCTGTTTCATTTGAACCAAAAATACAAATAATTGAGAAAACTTTCCAAAAAATACTTAATTTGGGGAAAAAGTGAGCTGGAATTTTATATTTGACTTCAATAAAAAGTATAATAGGTGATATTGCTATTGAGATGTTGACATTTTTAAATGTTTATTTCTTGTCTTTTAATTTGATTGTACAATGCCATGTCGTTTTATGCTGCTGCAACACAAACATTTCCCAACTTGGGATCAATAACGTACTTCTTATCTTATCTTATATAGATGTGTAATTTTCAATACAAATGTTCCCAAAATCATGTAAATTATTTCATTTTAATTTAATCGTTAATTTGAATAGGGACAATGCACATTAATGAACACTTTAAACAAATAATGCTTCAAGTGTAAATATGCCAGATTTTAGCTTTGAGCTCATTTCCATCCGTAGTCCCTGACATACAACATATAAGAACATGACATTTGTAAACATAGCAACAAATAAATACATGATATGCAGAAAGAGCAAGAGCAGCACACACAAGTATTTACCACATGGCAGTACACTATGGCAGCTACGACATATTAAGTGCAAGAGATGATACAAGAGCTACCTAAAGTGCAAGAGGAGATGCCCCTGTGTTAAAGTGCATTTAGCGGTGATCGCACGTCTGTTTGTTTCTCAACCATTCTTTGAGTTGACCTTTAAAGCTATTGAGAGTGGGACGATCCCGTATCTCAGTTGGGAGGCTATTCCACAATGAGCTGCCTTTAATGGAGAGGACATTTTGTCCAAAAGTGGTCCATCTACGGTGGACTTCACAGTCTCCTCTGGTTTCTGACCTAGTGCAGCGTCCAGTGTGTCTTCTGTGGATGAATTCCCCTAAGGGGGGGGGGCAGTCCATGTTCACAAAATCATTTAAATTACTGTTTGTAGCCTTTTAGCATTATAGAAAATGACATCCCCCATTAACAATTGATATTGTAATGCAACATCACATGCACTCATAAGACTATGGACAAAGATAATGAATGAAACAACACAACGAGAGATGAAGAGAAAATAAAAAGATGTGTGAAGTCTTGTGTGGCCAAGCATCTTCCTCCCCTGGGACCTGCAGTCTCTGAAGAGGCATGCGATGAAAAACATGTCCGCTAAGTTGTCATCGTGGTGAAGTGGTATGTCAAGGTTAAATAATGTTCTAATGTGTCGGGCAGATTGCAGTTTCTGTGGAGCCTGCGTGGTCCCGGCCTCTGGCAGGT